TGATCGCCAGATATCACAAGATTTCCTGTACTACTGTTACATTAAGGCGGCCGCCGAATATTTGCCGACTCTCTAGCTGTTCGTCTTGGCATTCTCCAAATAGCCTACGTACGCACACGTGGGGAATTGAAAAAAATATATTTAATTATATTTTTTATCTTTTTAATTATTGCTTTATTTACAAAACAATTTATGGTTTGTAAGAGAAGCTTTCCAAATTATTGGTTTTGTTTCGTAAACATCGAGGAATTCCAAAACCGTTGCATTGGGTCAATCCATTCCTAATAAGAAAAAAACAATTGTTATTGAATAGCCTAGTCGGGATTCGGCGAAAATTTGCGCGGCATTCGACGAATGCAGCATGTCTGTTTTAGATTCTTTAAAATTTGGGTTTCTGTTTCCTTGGTACACAAACCATTTCCTGTTTTATTAGCTTTTATGTTGCCAGGTATCACAACATTTCCTGTTCTCCTGATTATATCAAATCCTAGATTCACTGATATTTCCTGATCACTTGTTAATTCAGCTTCTAAGTCTCAAGATATCGTAAGATTTCCTGTTCTCGTGTTATATTTCAATCCTTATAGATTGGTTTTTCTGTTCCCTCGCGCCAATATCTTACGCCGAGAATTTGCCAGCTTCGCTCCGTGGAGTAATATTAAATTAAAAAAGGGGTGGGTGGAGGAGAGGGTGGGGTGGGGATGAGAGAGAAGGTGGGGGAGACAGAGAGATCACATGATATCAAAATATGTGCGGTTCACCATTATGACGTTCTGAGCTGGTATTAATTAAACCTTTTAAGCTTCAAAGATACTCACGAACTTGGACGATTAGATGGATTAAACTCAAAAAAAAAAAAATTGAGATTCTACGTAGAGAGAAAAAAAGAGCGTCAATTGAATATATGGTTTACCAATATGACGTTATAATTTGACCATGAGATGACGTAAGAAAAGAGGAATATGGAAGAGAACTAAAGAATGTTGATTATTAAAAATACACGGTTCACCGATTTGGCGTCATCACTTGGTAATGAGTCGACGTGAGAAAAGAGGAAAATGAAGAAAGAAACTTGATTATGAACATTTTTTCGGTTCACCAATATGACGTCAAAATCTAGCAGCGAGAGTACGAAAATAGTAAATAAGGGGAAAAATGACATAGTATTGCTTGATACATAATATTAATTGACATATTATTATTTTATTAAATTGTACGTCTGAAGCACCGTCTCCGTTTCTAACCGGAGGCAACCGAATTGAGAAACAAGCCCGTCGTCTACAAGGGTAAAAAACCAACCCTTTTGATCACCTTAAGCAGGGTGGAGAATTTAAAAAAAATCCTTCCCTCGCCTGGACGGACTTTATATGTTTTTGATTCCCTAAGTCCCTCCGCTTAGGAGCAATTAAAAGCCCGGGCGAACTCGGATTAATAAGCTCCCCCCCATCGTTTTAATCGATAGGGCCGATTCAATTAGCCTTTATCCCTCTGGCGTGGAGCGGCCTTTGAAAGTTAACTCTTTTATTAAATTACCCCGGTGTTTTAAGCACCGCTTTAAACTTTAAAAAAAGGAAAAATTTTCGTCTCGGCGCTTTCCTTCGTCTTGATTAAATCCACACCCCTTTTTCGCACATATACGGTTCATACGCGTCGAGGGAGGGGGCAGACTTACACGTCCCGTTAAGCCCTTACTTCGGGTTAAAGTCCCCTTCATCTTGATTAAATTAAATTGAGAAAAGGGGCTAACAAATCTACAAAAAATCAACCTCTTTTTCCCTTATGACATATAACAAATGAAATTGAGGTCGATTTAATTTAATTCAAGTGTTACATATATAGTTTAATTTCTCCCCGTTTAAGACGTCATACTGGTGAATTGTACATTGTTTGATAATCAACTTAACTGCTTTACGCCATTCCCTCATTTCTTATGTCGTCTAATTGCCTGATTTGACATCATTTTGGTGAACATACGTTTGTTATAATTCTTTTTTTTTACGCCGTGCCCATATTTCGCTCACATCGTCTCACATACCCAACCAATTATGACGTTTTATTGGCGATATGTACATTGTTTCAAAAACATTTTTTTTCTATGCCTATATTTATCACGTTGTTTCATTGCATGACGTCATATTGGTGAACCGTACTTTTCTGATAATAATTTTCTCTCTTTCTCGGGCAAGTTAATTTTTTTTCTATCACGTCTTCTCATTGCCTAATTATGACGTCACAATGGTGGACGCTTACATTATATAATTTCGATAATGTATATTTTATTCCCTCCCCCTCAAAAAAAGGCTGAATTGATCGTACTATAAGCGATGGTATCTCATGAAACCACACCCCTTTTCCGCGGGGGTGGATCGGTGGGATTAATCCAATCGAAATGATGACCCCGTAGAAAAGATAAGAGGCCCCATTACGCCCGGAGACCCGGGCCATAAAAAAACTTGGTGGCAGTAAACGATGTACATCGGGGCGTAAAACTACCCTGGGCTCTTTTTTAATATAAAAGGATGCCCTCTGCCCCGTAATAAAAGCCGTATCGACCGTCCACACCACCCCCCGGCTTTATTCCAGATCTGATTTGTTTATTTAAAAAAAAGACTGATCCGTTTAATCCGCCGTATAAGGGAGGTTAACAAGGGGTAGAACGGCCGTTTTATGATTCAATATTTTCTCAGCGGGTTGGGGGTGGTTTTTCACCCCTTCTTCAATTTCACTCCCTAGGCGGTGGCCGGAAATGAAGTTAAACTGAATCAAAGAGACGGTAAATTGTCCGGGGAAAAATAGGGTGGGCTCTCGATTCTATTTAATCAACCCTTTACAGCAGCAGATCATCTATCAGTCGCTCTGAAAAAAGGAGCGGTGAGCTGCCGGGACTGTAGTGTAGTGGATTAGTTGTTATACAGTTTCAAGCCCATCTCCGTACCTTCTAAAAGCCCTTTTTAGGAAAACGGGGTGTGCTTTTCGTTGGGGTGGATTGTGAGAGAAAAGGGGAAAAACCAAGTTTTAAAGAGATCATAAGCTAAATTTATTTGTTCTTTCTCCCTTTGAGCCCTGAAAAACAAGGGCTTCTCATCTGTGGAAACAGTGCTTTATTGCTTAACAACAAAAAAACAAATTATGAAAAACAAACAAAAAACATTCGCCATACAATTCACATATTCTAAATAGTTTTTTAAACAATTAACAGTTTTACAAATTTTATAACAGCTTCAACAGACAACACTCACAAAAATTCTTAAGGTTACGAAGAGGAAGTAACATTACAATAAAGATTTTTTTATTGGAATAATTACATTTTTTTGTGTTTTTTGTTTTATAATTATTTAATTACAATAATAAATATTTACATGTTTTTATTTCTCTTTGTGTATAATCAAATTATACATATATTGCACTTTTTAAATTTTTATTACGTGACATACTAATTAATCAATTAAAGCTTACATCGAGTTGTTTTCTTTTTCACCCTCTCAATCCCCCCAAATAAAATTTGTTGAAAGATTGAGACCTTTGGGAGGGTCTTGATTCAGTAGGAGACTAACACCCCAATTATGACGTCATATCAGGGGAACCGTACGCTTTCAAATAATCTACTTGTTTCTCCGATATTTTCCCCCCATTTCTCTAGTGTCGTCTCATTGCCCAATCATAACGTCATACTAGGGGAACCGTACGCTTTCAGATAATCGACTTTCTTCTCCGACATTTTCCACATTTCTCTAGTGTTGTCTCATTGCCAAATTATGACGTCATACTAGGGGAACCGTACGCTTACAGATAATCGACTTTCTTTCTCCGACACTTTCCCAATTCCTCTAGTCGTCTCATTGTCAAATTATGACGTCTTATCTGGTGAACCGTACTCTTTCTTTGGTATTCTCTTATGAAACCAATTTCTTCCTTCTTCATTTTCCTCTTCGCCATCCTATGACCAAATTGTGACTTCATACTAGTAAACGTAAATATTGTATTTATCAACTTTCTTTTATTCTCCGCCAGTTTGCTCCTACCTCGCGCAGTCTTACTTCACTATTATGACATCTTGGTGGACCGTTCATTTTTTATAATTCACATCTTTTTCTAAGCAGTTTCCACACCCTGACTATCATATTCTGAAATGTACATTTTTTAACAATCAACTCTCTTTCTGTATTTATCCGCCTGATTCCTCTTTTCCCACGTCATATAATTGCCCAATTATGACGTCATATAGGTAATTGTTTCACGTGCTTCATCGCCCAATTATGACGTCATATTGGCGAATCGTACATCTTTTAATGATCAACTTTCTATGGTTATCCGTCATTTCCTCATTCCCCACGTCGTGTCCTTGCCAGATTATGACGTGATTTCGGCGAAGCGAACATTTTCAACTTTCTATAGTTCTTCACTTTTCCCTTCTTTACCTCGTTTATGACATTATATTGTCCACTTTATCAGCCATTTTTCTCTTTTAGAGTCCTCTCATTGACCAATTATGACGTCATATTGGTGAACTGTAATTATTCTTTAATGAATTCACCCTTTCAGCCTAGGTGAATTTAGTATAACTTTTTTTTACTGTTTCTCCTCACACTCAAAACCCCCAAAGGCCTCACCGCACACCTTAAACAGAAACACATTTAAATATTGTTTTAATATCACCATGTTTTTTTTCAAATATCACCTTTTCATTTTCCACCTATTTATGCCTTCTTTTTTTTATTAAGTAAAAAAAATAATAGATTTTTTGTATATTTACCATAAAAATCTTTTGAGGGTGAAGAGAAAGGGGTGAAGTCTGAGTTTATTATTTTTTATATATATTTATAATATGGAAAACATTGAAATACTGGTTACTTTTAATATATATATATATTAATTAAAAATTATTTTTTTAAAGTTAAGTTATAGGCCATTTTCTCACTTTTTTCAATTATTTAAAAAATTAATAGCGTCTATTTTTTTATATATATAATTATTTTTTGGTATTTTTTCTTTCTCCCTTTCGAAAAAACATACACGTAATGTCGATAAATCACAAAATCACGATATGCTTCAATATATGTTTTTTTTATTCATTTGTTGGGGGCGGCGTGGTATAGACTCCAGCCTACCCCCGACCAAAAAAGGAGGGGGTAAAATTTCAAAACTTCTGTCTAAAAGGGAGTCTACACAGTCCGACGGGAAGAATGAAATACCTACAAAATTTGTTTTCAAAAAATAATCAATAATGAACAACAGCTAGAAGATGAATCACAAAAATTGTCATATTTTTTAGAACCCTAGGAACTCCCAGGCCTAACAAATCTTAATAATTAATTATATAATTATATTTATTTATATTTATATATATAAAAACTTATTATTATTTTTCTTTTTTTCCCTTTTTTTAACACTAAGTTAATAACCATTTTGTCTACAATTCCAGTCAGGCACGCTTTATTTCTTTTTTTGTAATCAACAAAGTGCAGTGCTTTATCCATATTTTTTTATAAATACATTTTGCTTAATATTTATATATAATATAGTGGGTTCTCTTTGGAATATATTTTTTTTTGTGTGTATGCACACAAACCAAATATTCTTATTGCACGTTATATCATTTATTTCCTTTTTTCTTTGTTTTAATAATTTGGGGGTGGGGAGGGTGAAATCCAAATAATCTCAGGATTATCTGCGATCCTCGTTGGATTTTACCCGAGATTTTTGCCCCCCAACCGTAGGAGAACGCGGGATGAAGGCACTTACCTGCGCCCACCTACATTTTTTTTTTAATTAATTAATTTTTTTTTTTGAACATGTGACAATTTTTTAAAAGCCTACAGGGTGAAAGGGTTAAAATCTTGGCGTGAAAATAGGGAACGAGAGGATAGGAAAGAGGTGGAAAATATCAGGATGGCATGACAAGAGCTCCTGGCCAACCTCAAAGCCAGTTCATCAGGATGAAAGGCCCTTTTTAATTTCTCATAATCGCATTTTTTTTAAATGAATGATAATCTACATTTCAAGATGAAAAATATTCGGAAAGAATTGGTTGTTGAAGTTAACGGAGGTCGAAAATATCAGGATGGGATGACAGGAGCATCTGGCCAACTTCACGGTCAATTTCACAGGATAAAAGGACCTTCTAACGTCTCATAATCTACTTTTCTTCATAAACAAATGATAATCTACATTTCAAGATGAAAAATATTTGGAAAGAATTGGTTGTTGAAGTTAACGGAGGTCGAAAATATCAGGTTGGGATGACAGGAGCATCTGGCCAACTTCACGGTCAATTTCACAGGATAAAAGGACCTTCTAACGTCTCATAATCTACTTTTCTTCCTAAATAAATGATAATCTACATTTCAAGATGAAAAATATTCGGAAAGAATCGTTTTTGAGGTTAAAGGAGGTCGAAAATAACAGGATGGCATGACAGGAGCTCCCGGCCAACTTCACGGTCAATTTCACAGGATAAAAGGTCCTGCTAACTTCTCATAATCGGCTTTTCTTCGTAAATAAATGATAATCTACATTTCAAGATAAAAAATATTCGGAAAGAATCGTTTTTGAGGTTAAAGGAGTTCGAAAATAACAGGATGGCATGAAAGGAGCTCCCGGCCAACTTCAAAGCCAGTTTATGAGGATAAAAGGCCTTATAATTTCTCATAATCGCTTTTTTTCATAAATGAATGATAATCTAATTTCAAGATGAAAAATATTCGGAAAGAATTGGTTGTTGAAGTTAAAGAGGTCGAAAATATCAGGATGGCATGACAAGAGCTCCTGGTCAACCTCAAAACAAGTTTATCAGGATGAAAGGCCTTTTTTAATTTCTCATAATCGCTTTTTTCATAAATCAACGATAATCTACATTTCGAGATGAAAAATATTCGAAACGAATTGGTTGTTGAAGTTAAAGGTGGTCGAAAATATCAGGATGGGATGAAAGGAGCACATGGCCACTTCACGGTCCATTTCACAGGATAAAAGGACCTTCTAGCTTCTCATAATCGACTTTTCTTCATAAATAAATGATAATCTACATTTCAAGATGAAAAATATTCGGAAAGAATTGGTTGTTGAAGTTAAAGGAGGTCGAAAATAACAGGATGGCATGACAGGAGCTCCCGGCCAACTTCAACGCCAGTTATCAGGATGAAATGTCATTCTTATTTCTCATAATCGAATCTTTTTACTTAAAACATAGGTAATATTCATTTCAAGGTGAAAAAATCAAGAAACGATAGGATATTGGGCTTATCACGATGGGTGACAGGAGCTCCTTCTTCTCCTTGTCGTATCAGGAAGCTGGAATTTTATATTTGTGCCCAGTCATTTTGCTCACATTAACATTTTAACATTGCAATGATAAAAGAAATCATCAAGTTCGGCGATCAATAAAAACCAGGAACATAAAAAACCTAATCCCCTCGTTACCTTATATTTTTTTAGGAATTTTTTTGTGGTTATCTTTAGTCATCCCACGTTGGAAACTGTCCAGTGGGTAGGAAGAGACCCGTCGACTGTGGCTGGACCTGAGGAGGAGGATCTGGAGCCCTGAGAGGCGGCTGAGGCGACGCCCAGTCTTGAGGTACGGCAGTCGACATCTCCATATCGCCCGCTTCTCCATCACCACCTTGCGAATTCGGCTCCAAGCTGCTGTGCTTGATCCCGTAATAGAAATAGACCAAGATACCTTTGCATAAAAACGTATTGGTAAAAAAAAGGATAAGAAATAGTGGATTTTTTTACCTAAGGTCATCCATACGGTGAACCTGACTAGCGTCAGGATGGAAAGTTTGAATATAAGGTAGATGTTCACCATGACTGCTATGGCCGGGACGAAAGGCAGGCCGGGCGTCATGAATACGAGTGTTTTTCTTGAAAAAAAGAAAGAAATCGTTAGGTTTATGTGGAGGATTTTCATGATGGACGTACCTGTTTTGAGGTTTTCTTGATATGAGGAGGAGGACAGCTATGATGGCTGGAAGAAGCGTGCAGACGAGCAGAGTGACGATAACGGAATCGCTGTCCATCCCGCAGACGATGGTAAGGTCGAAAAGGAGGATGAGGAGGTAAAGGAGGCCGACGAGCTTCATGACCATGAGGCCCGATTCTTCAGTCGCAGGTCCTGTGTCCACCCAGGGGAATATGGCTGGACAGAGGTAGGTCGCGGCCTGGATCTTCCTGGCTATGTGAGACAGGGTCGGTCCTGCAGCGCCGGCTACACTTCCGGTGGTGGTTCCTCCGTGAACCGTCCCGTAGAACTTTGCCTCGCTCGCGTCCGAGACTAGAAACTGGTCGTCGCGCATGCCCTCGTCCCCTTCTTCAGTCACGGTGTCGTCTGAATCGGGAGAGCTGCGCGTCACCCTTCTCACCATGACGCGCTGCGGCTGGTGGACCTGCTGCTCCAACGCCGTCCTCAGGTGGTCAGGGCGGAGATGAGCCCCAGTTTGATACGCCTGCCCGTTGGCGATGGACGGCGGCTCCTTCGTCGGGGAGCCTTTCAGAGGTGTCCTCAGGGACTCGGGGAGGAGCTCCATCAGGTTGGTCGTGTGAGGCTGGTATCTGAGGATGAGGACGCACGTCGACACGAGAGTGTAAGCTAGAAGGGTGCCGATCGACATCATCTCGACAAGGACGTCGAGGCTAATTATCATTGCGGCGACTGCGGCTGCTGAACCGCAAATAAAAGTCGCGAGAACCGGTGTTCCTGTTCCAGGGAAGACCTGAGCCAACGGCCTAAAAAACACAACCATTCTTCTTAAAAAAAAAAGCATAAACATAAAAATATTAGACACAGATTTCTAATCATTTGGCAATCTAACAAGTCGTCACAGTACAGGTTTCAACCTGAAAAGTTTGTCTTACTTGAGTTTCTTACCTAAAACGTAACTAACATTCTTAAAAGTCAACGGAGCAAGTTTTAAACTAAAAAGCTAGTCATACACCTGCTTCATACCTAATAAGTAAGATTTTTCATTTATTCAAAAATCAAGCCAAAAGAATAAATTTTAACCTAAAAAGCTCGTCTTAAAATTAGCTATCGGTCTAATAACAAGGAAGACACGTCAACTTCACTTAATAGGTTTTAACCTAAAACCTTAAAAACTTAAAAAACCTAAAAAACTGTAACAGTTAACCTGGTTACAGGTTACTTTTAACCTACAAAGCATCTATTTCAACCACCGTCAAGCCCAAAGAATAAATTTTAACCTGCATAAGTTTTTCTGACAAAAATGAGACATTTAAAAAAAAAATTCAGGTTTTAGCCGAAAAAGCTTTCTTAATTAGCTTTTGACCTAATAACAAGAAAGGCGCTTCAACTTCACATAACATGTTTTAGCCTAAAAACTCGCATGACTGTAGATTACAGCTAAACTGGTTACATGTACTTTTAACCTACAAAATGTCTCATTCAACAACGTCAAACCCATAAAAAGAGTAGGTTTTTTTACCTATTATACAAGGGATTTTATGCTTTAATCAAGCACCTAGGTATTTAGGTTAAAAGTTAAGCAGTTAAGCAGAAAAACTCATAAAAAGAGCTTTTCAAAAAATAATTAACTGTGTATACTTGAGGACTTGATGATTACTAAAATAGGTTAAAAGTTCAGGTCAGGCAATCTTTTTAGGTTAAAACCCTATTTTTTTAAAGCATAAGCTCTTCTGTTTATAAATTTTTAGGTTAAAAAGCCCATTCTTTTTAGGCATAAAATTTCCTGTAAAACTTTTTAGGTACTCTATTAAAACATAAAATTTCCTGCTCCATAAAACGCATAAGTAAAAAGTAAAACAATGGAGTTTTAATCTAAAAAGCTTCTTATAAGGAGATATATTACTAAAAAGAGTAGGCTTTTAATCTGAAAACCTTAATAAACAGGATATTGGTTGGACAGGAAAATTTATTCCTAAAAAGAAGCTTTTTAACCTAAACACTTGAGAGCCTAATAAGCTAAATAAAATCACTTGTATAATCAGAAGTTTAGGTAACAACCTACTCTTTTTATGGGCTTGACGGTTGTTGAAATAGATACTTTGTAGGTTAAAGGTTCAAGCCATGCGAGATTTTATGTTAAAACCTATCAGGTTAGGTTGACGCGTCTTCCTTGTTATTAGATCAAAAGCTAATTTTAAGCCTTTTTCTGTTAAAACCTGAAAGATTTTTTAAAATGTTTCTTTTTTGGAAAAAAAAATTATATAAGTCGAACTTTTTAGGTTAAAATCATCAACAGTGTGTACTTGACGACTGTTGAAATTGACACTCTGTAGGTAGGTAAGTATTTTTGGTTAAAAGTTAAAGACGTTACAAGTTAAAAGACGATTAGTTTAAAAAACTACGTGTCTATTAAAGCTTAAAATCTCGTGTATAATGTTTTTAGGTTAAAAACCTCCCTCTTTTTAGGCATACATCTCTTTATAAGAAGCTTTTTATTTTAAAAACCCATATTTCAGTTTATACTTATGAGTTTTCTGGAACAGGAAATTTTATGCTTTAATAGAGTACCTAAAAAGCTTGTTTTACAGAAAATTTTATGTCTAAAAAAGAGTAGGCTTTTAACCTAACAATTTTAATAAACAGGATATTTTTGCTTTAATAGAGTCTCTAGTGTTTTCAACCTATAAAGCACGTTGGAATGGAAAATTTATGCCTAAAAAAGGAAGCTTTTTAACCTAAACATGCATGAGTTTGTAAGCGTTAATAGATATCTACATTTTTAACCTACAAATCTAGCCTTACCTAATTTTTAACCAAAACAGCTAGCCTTACCTAACTTTTTACCTACAGAATTCAATGTCAGCAGTCCATAATGTACAGTTTACCCTAAAACGGTTATCATTCCTCAAATTAGAGACTATTTTAACCTAAAAAAACTTGCCTGACTCGAACTTTTAACTTACAAAGTGACAATTTCAACAGTAATCAAATTCATACTGTGCATTATAGCCTAGAAAGCTTATACCTCAAATTAGAGACGATATTAACCTAAAAAAGCTTGCCTGACTCGAATTTTTAACCTACAAAGTGACAATTTCAAGTCATCAAGTTCATACTGTGCGTTGTATCCTAAAACGCGTATCATACCTCAAACTAGAGACGATTTTAACCTAAACAAGCGAACTAACTTACAAAATGCCAATTTCAATAGTCATCAAGTTTATAAAAATAGTATATTTTACCAACTAGAGCTTATTTTTGCAGCATATTTTTAACTTCAATAGTATACTTGGGTTTTTAATAAAAAAAAGCTTCTTATACAGAAGAGTTTATGCCTGTAAAATAGGTTTTAATCTAAAAAGCTTCTTATTATAAAAGAGATTTTAAGCATAAAAAAATACGCAACTTAAAAAACTAAGTTTTATGCCTAAAAAGTAGGTTTTAACCTAAAAAGATTTTATACAGAAAATTTTATCGTTTAAAAGAAGTGGTTTTTAACCTAAAACGCTTGCCTGATATAAACTTTGATTTTAGGTTAACGCTACTCAAAAAAGAGTACGCTTTGACGTAAAAAGCTTGCCTTAAATATAACTTATCAGCCTAAAAAGTGATTATTTCATAAAGTCGTTCAGGTTTTAGCCTGAAAAGCTCATCATAAATGAAGCCTAAAAAGTATCATTATTAAAATATTGGTTTTAACTTTAAAAAAACCTGTCTTACTTGAGTCTTTGCCTAAAAATTGAGAATTTTAAAGGAACCAGGTCTATAACCCATTTTCCAAGGCTGGTATAATTACATTTTAGTGTCAAATTTTTGTATAACCGAATTCTGGGTGAAAACCCGTATAAGACAAGATTTTTATGTTAAAATCCACTAGACTTGACGATTATTGTCGTCACTTTGTAGGCCAAACAGATCTGAGATTTTTTTAGGTTGGAACACAGTATTTTAAAGCAAAATGTGGGTAATGAGATTTTTGATTAAAAATTTACACTTTTTAGGCATAATATCTCTTATAAATCAAGCTTGTTAAAACTAGATGCTCAGGGGCGTCGGTGGACGAAACGGTTTAGGCGTTGACACGGCGCTATGCTCTATTAAAACTTAGTGGTGAACTTTAGAGTTAAATTGGCCAAAGGACAAGACCTGAAAATGAGACCGTCGTGGGCCATGGCGTAGACGATCCTCGGCATCGGGAACATGGAGCCGAACATGGATACGGTGAGACCTGCGACACCCCCGGCCGCGACGATGCACTTGCACCTGTTGGCCCCGACCTGGCCGAACATGGCCACGAGGCCGGACTCTGCCGATATCTCGTCGTAAGGTACTGGAAAAAAAGAATTCGATCACGAACTGATAGACGGCCTTTGACGGAGAACACTTACTGATGAGGGTGAGCATAAGGGAAGAGCTGACGTATGCTATGAGTATGATGATAAGGCTGGAGACTATGGCGAGTGGGATGGATTTCTTCGGGTTGTTCGCCTCTTCGCCTGTAGTCGCTATGATGTCGAACCCGATGAAGGCGTAGAAGCACGTCGCAGCTCCTGAAAACACCTGAGTTTTTTTTTAATAGAGATTTATGTTTTTTTATGTTTATGTTTTTTCCCTTACGCCGCTCCATCCCATTGGTAGAAACCCCTTGTGCTGGGTCCAGTTGTTCGTGTCGACGTAGAAAAGACCGGCGCCCATCATGAAGACCCAGGCGGCCAGGTTGAGCACGTTGAGGATGTTGTTGAAAACGAGGGACTTTTTGACGCCGGCCGCTATCACAAGCATCATCCCCAGCGTGATGGCGAACGCGATGACGTCGGGCGGCCGATCCGTCCCGATGATCGTGCCAAGGTAGCTCTTGAGGGCGTCAGTAATGGCACCGCCTGATATCGTGTTGAAACAGGCTGAGAGGGCCGAGGCGCAGGCCGCGGTACCGATCAGGTACTCGAGTACCATATTCCAACCGATGACGAACGCCACCCCTTCGCCGACTGTCACGTACGAGTACATGTACGCTGAGCCGGTCGTCTTAGGCACCCTCACCCCGAACTCGGCATAACACGCTCCTGAACATTAAAACAAAATTAAAATAAAAACCCGAATTTCTAATTTTAAAAAAATCACTTACCGGAAAAGAGAGAAGCCAGGGCAGCTATGATGAATGATATGACGACCCCCGGGCCGGCGAAGTTCTTGGCGACCATACCGGCCACGAGGTACATCCCCGTCGCGACACAAGAACCAACGCCCAGCGAGGTCAGGTCGAGGGTTGTCAAACATTTCTGCCCAAACATTACAAACAAAAAGTTCAAAAAATCGGCCAGAAAACGAGTTTCCAGTCAAAGATGAAGTTTGGCTGTTCTAGAGATAAAGGTAGTAAATAGAAAGGAAACTGGCTCATGGAACTTGACGTCTGATCTTAGTCGGCCTAAACTTAATGACGAGATATCAAGTAGGCATTAATTTAAAAAGATTAATTTAGAAATTAAGCTCGTTTGAACTGAATCACTCTCAGTTATCAAATAGGGATGAACATAATGATTTCATTTGGACTAGAAGCTTCTCTGAAGCTAATGACAGTCAGATATAAAAAAAAATGAGTGATAACTAACGAAAGTTAACCTGAACTTCATGTCATCCCGATATCTCAAGTCAGCCTAAACTTAATCAGATTCATTTAGAAAAAGTTTAACCTGAACTTAATGACTGTCAGGTATCTGAAATAGGACTAAATATAATGATATTAATTTATGCCAGAGCTTGTCTGAACTTAATGACAGTCAGATATCAAAAACATAATGAAAGCCATACATAACTAAGGTTAACCTGAACTTCCCGACTGACAGATATCAAGTAAGCCTAAACTTAACGAGATTTATATAGAAATTAAGTTTGTCTGAACTAAATGACAGATATGAAAAACATAATGACAGTATGGTCGTAAGATATTAAGAACTAAATGAACGTCAGTAGCCTAAATGAATTTCATTAAGTTTATTCATACTTGAGATATCTGACAGCCATTAAGTTCAGGTTAAGCTTTAGATATGACTGACATTAAATTCAGTCAAGCTTAATTTCTATATAAATCTCATTATGTGTAGGCCTACTTGATATCTGTCAGTCGATAAGTACAGATGAAAATTAGTTATTTATGACTGTCATTACGTTTTTGATAACTGACTGTCATTAAGTTCAGACAAGCTTCCGGTCCAAATGGATACCATTATGTTCATGCCTATTTGATAACTGACTGTCATTAAGTTCAGACAAGCTTCTGGCCAATGGAATGTTATTAAGCTTAGTACTACTTGAGATATCTGACAGCCATTATGTTCAGGTTAAACTTTAGATATGACTGACATTAAATTCAGTCAAGCTTAATTTCTATATAAATCTAATTATGTGTAGGCCTGCTTGAAATCTGTCAGTCGGTAAGTTCAGGTGAATATTTGTTATTTATGATTGTCATTACGTTTTTGATAACTGACTGTCATTAAGTTCAGACAAGCTTCTGGCCAAATGGAATATCATTAAGTTTAATCCTACTTGAGATATCTGACAGCCATTAAGTTCAGGTTAAATTTTAGATAGTAGACAGTCATTATGTTCAGACAAGCTTAATTTCTATATGAATCATATCAAGTTTAGGCCTACTTGATATCTAAGAATCGATAAGTCAATAACTTAACGACGGTTACATATAAGACAATAAGCTTGAATGAACTTAATGACTTTGACATATCAAAGTCCGGCCTGGGGATAAAGGTTGATAAAAGAGGAGTAATCTTGATATTTGGACTGACCTGAACTTAATTTAATGGCTTCCCTAATTCGAATATAGCATTGTTTTGAGGTGAGCGTCAAAAGTAAAGTATGAAAACGAGATCACCCGGACATGACTTATTTCCAAACTGCCAACCCTTCAAGTTCAGGTCCAACTTAATTTGTCAACCCGAATCGAGCCGAGCCTGGTCTCATTTTCAGCTCCACGGCCCAGTCAGCGTCATCAGTCACTGTTCCAACTCCAAGGCTGAATTTATTAGACAAACAGAACTTGGTCCGTTTTGTTAATTTTTGATACAAAATCTGTTTACGAACGATCGATCACAACGGCCGGGTTTCTATGAAAAAAAAAATTAAACAAAAGGAGTCTAGAACAAAGCATCATCCCCTTTGTTTCTCCCTCCCTAATTTTTTCTTTAACCCGATGGATTCTCAGATCGTTTCCACCCGGTTCTAATTGGCTTTGGCGGAGGGGATCGAGTTAATGAATAGGAGTGAAATTAACTAGGCCTTGTTGTAAATCTTAATCCTTGGGTGGATCGATGACAATGACCTACTTGTTGCCGGTTAATCGCCCATCGCCCAAGGCCCGACCGGCCATCGCGGCTCATCCCAAGGCAAAATAAACGCGGGGGATCTCCCCTTTCGGATAATCAACGAAACCCAATCGGAATAAGATCGATTTTCAACTAGAACATGGCACAGTTTTCACACCTTTCTTCTTGTCAAACAGAATACGACTGCAAAAAATTTGAGAGTCTTAAAACACCCAACCTAACTTGATAATTGACTGTCATTATATTCAGGCCAGATTAATCCAATTCATCCAAGTTCAAGCCGATTCTATATCTGACTGTCAATTAAGTTCAAGCCGACCCGAAATCCAGCTGTCATTAAGTCATTTGATATCTGACTGACATTTAGTTCAAGCCGATCAGAAAATCAGCTGTCATTAAATATTTTGATATCTAACTGAGTTTAAATTTAGTTCTATTAATGTCCTGCGGTCATTAAGCTCATTGGATAAGCTTAAAGTCCTACTGACTGCCATTAAGTGTTTGATATCTGGCAATCATCAAGTTCGAACTAGCTTAATTTATAAGTGAATCTCATTAAGTTTAGGCCTACTTGATATCAATCAGTCGGTAAGTCCAGGTTAATTATAGCAATTTGTGACTGTCATTATGTTTGTTGAGATCTGACGGTCATTAAGTTCAGGTAAGCTTAATTTCTAAATGGAACTCATTAAGTTCAGCATGCTTACTTGATATCTGTCAGTCGGTATGTCCAGATTAACTATAGCAATTTATGACTGTCATTATGTTTGTTGATACCTGACGGTCATCAAGTTCAGGTAAGCTTAATTTCTAAATGAATCCCATTAAGTTTAGTATGCCTACTTGATATCTGTCAGTCGGTATGTCCAAATTAACTATAGCAATTTATGACTGTCATTATGTGTGTTGATACCTGACCCCATTAAGTTCAGGTAAGCTTAATTTCTAAATGAATCACATTAAGTTTAGTCATACTTGAGATATCTGACCGCCATTAAGTTCAGGTTAAATTTTAGATATTACTGTCATTACGTTCAGACACCTTTATTTCTATATGAATCACATCAAGTTTTTAGGCCTACTTGATATCACAATCGGTAATTCAGGTTAACTTCGTTATGACTATCATAATGTTTTCGATATCTGACTGTTACGTTCAGACAAGCGTCTAAATGAATCTTTAGTCCTACTTGCGATATTTGATTGACAGTAACTCCAGGTTAACTTTCGATATGACTGTCCGTAAATTCAAGCAAGCTTAATGTCTAAATTAATCTCATTGAGGATTAACACTAGCCCAACTTGAGATGTATGATGTAGTTAAACTATATTACTACTTAATGTCCGGCTGTCATTAAGTTTTGGCCAGCTCGATATCTAACTGCCATTATTTTCTTGATGTATTATCGCAGTAGATTAAGATCATATTAATGCCCAACGGACTTCATTAAGTTTAGGCCTACTTGAAATATCTGAACGTCATTAAGTTCAAGTTAACTATAGATATGGCTGTCATTAAGTTGTATAAAGATGTAACATATCTGACGGTCATTATGTTGAGACAAGACTAGTCTAAATGAATACCATTATGTTCATGCCTACTTGATAATTGGCTGTCATTACGATCAGGTTACCTGTAAATATGACTGTCATTATGTTCTTGTTACCTACCGGTCAGTATGTTGAGATTAGACTGATCTAAATGAATACCTTTATGTTCATACCTACTTGATAAGTGACTGTCGTTACGTTCAGATTAGCTCAATTTTTATGCATCTCATTATGTTTAGGCCTTGACATCTGAAAGTCGTTAGGTTCAGGTTACCTATAAGTATAACTATCATTATGTTCTTGATATCTGACGTAATCTTCTTTGGCATCTAAATATCAATAAGTGCAGGCCTACTTGATATCAAACTGTTATTATGGTTAGGGTGGACTTGATAAACGACTGCCATTAAGGCTATAAGGTTAACCTTATAACTTATTGTCATAGAGTTCAGGCTGAGTGTTGATTCGTCTGACGGCCATTTTGTTTAGACAGCTTGATATCTAAGTGACTCATTAAATTAATACCGACTTGATACCTGACTGTCATTATATTCATTGTAAGCATAATGTCCAACTGACTGTCATTAATATGTCACCGATGATATCTGACAGTCATTATGTTTTTTATGTCTGACGGTCAGCTTCTTTGATATGCAATGTCAAAAAGTTCAGCCTGACTGGAAAATTGACTGTCATTAAGTCATGTCAATTTAACAGCCCAATTCTCTGTCCACGTTTATAATTGTGCCAGGTTTTGTTTACCAAATAGTTCAAGGAGAGGGAATGTTGAAGATTAATCGATTTGCCTCGACCATTTTGATGAGGATGGTCCGGTCTAACCACCCGGCCGATTACCAGGGCAGGTTAACGATCCGTATCCAATTAGGTGTCTCAGGGGTTGCGGGGGTAGGTCGGACCTCGTATCAATTATTGTACCTTGTATCAATTATTCTCACTCACCCTGAGCCGTCCCTTGCCGGGCTTTCTCTCGGCTCCCTCTTCCTCCTGGAGGCATTCTATGTCTTTCGTCCTAATAAGTTTCCCGAATAGGTTCAGGCAGTCTTTCTTCGTATCTCCTGTCGTGAACAAGCCCGGCTTCAACCGTTCCCTGGAACATAAGAGAAATGATTCGATTAAATTTCATCATCTCCTGGGTTCTTTTTTTTATCAAAACTTTTTTTGTCTGTCTTCTTTTATTCAACACAAGGCAAATTGGATCCGAGGAATTACGTCTACCCCCACCCCTACACCATCCAACCAGACAATTCACAACCACTCAAACATGCTAGGAGAATAAAATTGGACGAAATGAATTTAGCCCGAAAGTGAGAAGGAGTGGTTTTTCTACCACCGACGCAATTGTGTACAGAAAAAACATTTTAACTCCCAACCACCTCAACGCCGGTTATTTTTTGGTGATCTCGACCATTTGTCCCTTTGGTTAAAACCGTTTCAAATGGTCCAGTTCATGGTACAACCTTCATTTACACAGTCAACAGTTCATATTATAACCGGTTGGACCGGTGCAGTTGAGAGTAAAACCTTCATCTACTTTATTCATTGTTATCTGAACGGGTCATAACGGTTAGGTTATGGTTTATGGTAGGACCAGTTCATGGCAAAAGTTTCTTATACTCTATCACGTTATCTGAACCTAATGGAACGGTTGAGATCGTGGTAAAACCTTCCTTGACTGTTTCATTTAACAATAAACCGGTTGGACCGGTCCAGTTTATGGGAGAACCTTCCCCTACACTTGTTATTGTATCCTGTCCAACCAGTCTAGTTTATGGGAGACCACCTTTAACAGGTTCATTTAATTTTATAACCGGTCCTCTTTATGGCAGAACCTTCCTCGACTGCTTCATTTAACAATAAAACCGGTTGGACCGGTCCAGTTTATGGTAGAACCTTTCCCTACACTTGTTATTGTATCCTGTCCAACCAGTCTAGTTTATGGGAGACCACCTTTCGAGTTGTAGGATCGACGCTTCCAACTATTAATTTATCCCCCTGCGGGATAACTCAACAAAAGGAACAGCTGACAGAGGGAGGTTACTTCAAGTGTCGAATGCCTATTGTGTCGTGTCGGCTTAACATCGTTTTGTCCTTTCTTGTATTTTTATTGAATAATAAAACGTATTTTTGTGTTGCAAGTGATTTCAATTACTCTACACTCCTCCCTCATCCTACAATAACAGGTTCATTTGATTTTATAACCGGTCCTCTTTATGGCAGAACCTTCCCTACAGTTGGTATTATATACTGTCCAACCAGTATAGCTTATGGGAGACCTTCTTTAACTGGTTCATTTAATTTTATAACCGGTCCAACCGGTTTTCTTTATGGTAGAACCTTCCTCGACTGTTTGAAGTTGATATTTGAACCGGTCAAACCGGTGAACTTCTCAGTGGAAACTTTTTCTACTGTTTCAGTTCATAGCTTTATCCATCTGCAAATCTTCTTCGTTGCATGTGGGTCTCTCGCGTTGGTGGCTGAGGCGTGAGGTAAAAAAGAATCGAAAGGAAAAACGAATTTTCTTAACTGTTAATCCAGCCCAACTGGTCCAAGTTTTATTTCCGGCCGAACAATTCCCGGATTATTGCGCAAATCTTTTCAACTCCCAATCCGATAATTGCACAATCGGCTTTGCCAACCCGTTCCGGCTCTATAGCGATATTACATTGTGACTGAGTCCATTTTCATGATTTCACGTCAATTGTTACAGGATCGTTAACGAGGTCAGGTTATAACTGGCTTACAAGTTGGAACTCGATTACTCTGAAACTGGCCGGACAATTTTCGATGTTGAGAGGACGTTTAACTGTTGTGGAGGAAGTTAATGGATTTTCCAATAAGGCCGTTCCTCGGGTGGCAAATTGCTTCCTGTCACGGGCCTCCGAACTCGAGCCAAAACCGCCGACGTGCCAATAAAGACCTAAGGAAGTGCCGGCTTACCAAGTCCCGAGCTGAAACCAGCCCGTGTAATACATTTCGAGGCAGTGACGTTCCGGTATAGAAATATTGGCCAAATAATTAAATTTGGCTTGTGGTTTAATGGGAATTTGGCAGGTGAACTGGACGTCTGCTTGGGTTCTGTTTTGCCGGCAAAGTTTCCGAGAGATTCCGGTTCGGTGGGAGAGTTTGGCCAACTTTTCAAGCCGTTTCGCAAAGGGCCGGATCGATGGGAAAAACAAGGACCGTATAAATATCCAAAGCTTGAATTTATTTGTTCCACTCTTCGACTCGTCGAGACCCGGGGAATATCGAATGGGTCCGTCCTGGAAAGCCAGACGGATGGAGGAATAAAATGTTCCTTTGAAAAATGGGAAGATTCCGAGAAAATGGAGAAATGACGAAGAAAAACGTTCGATGAAGGTTCCACTGCAAACTGAACCGGTTGGACCAGTTGCAATAATATCCGAAACGTTCAAGAATGTTTCTACCATTAACTGAACTAGTTGGACTGATTCTCATATAACCTAAAACTGTAGAGGAGAGTTGCAATGTTAAGTGTACCGGTTTAAACGATTCCAATATCAACTGAAACAGTCCAGAAAGGTTACGATGTAAACTGAAACGGTTGGACCCATTCTAACATAACCTGAAACAGTGGAGAAAGTTCTAATGATAAGTGCACCGATTTCACCAGTTCCAATATCAACTGAAACAGTTCAGAAAGTTACGCTGTAAACTGAAACGGTTGGACCGATTCTAATATAACCTGAAATAGTGGAGAAGAGTTCCAGTGTTAAGTGCACCGGTTAACCTGTTCCAATATCAACTGAAACAGTCCAGGAAAGTTACGCTGTAAACTGAAACAGTTGGACCGATTCGAACATAACCTAAAAAAGTGGGGGAGGATTCCACTCTCCAGTACACCGATTTAACCGGTTCAAATATTGAAAGAAACAGTCGAGGTAGCTTCTATTGTCATCTGAACCAATGGACAGGAAATAACGTTGGTTGATACAGTCGAACAAGGTTCTATTATAACTTAAGCCGGTTATATGAATTTTCAAGCTGTCTACCATAATACCGGTTGTACCGATTCTAGTAAAACCTGATCAAGGCAGCTTCTAATGTCACCTGAACCGGTCTTTTAGACAACAATGTTAATTGAACCAGGCGAGGGAGGTTATACTATTACCTTAATCGGTTCGACAGGTTATAATATACAAAACAGTCGAGGAAGGATCGACGACAAACCTTATTCAAAACCTTACCTTAACCTTATTAAAAAACTTAGGTTATAAAAATCTGAACCGAGTTATATCGTTTGATATAAAATATTTTTTAAAAAACAAAACTCATTGAATATAATCAATTTATGATAGTTGGGAGGAAGAAGGCCATTATGAACAGGATTTCATTTTCAACTTGTTGCACCCTTTGGTGAGATTTATGACGTTTCGGGGGTGGGGGTGGTAAAAACTGCAGTCAGAGAACAAGTAGCTGGGATGGTTGCACCTGTTGAGCCGGGTGTTGCTGGCGGCTGTTGACCCAAGGAAAGAGGTTTTGGACAAATAACCCTGGGCGGAGGCGTTTATAAGATGAAAAAAGATTTGAAATTTGGTCGATCGGAGCTCCCGAGATTGACCGCACCCGGGGCGACGTAGGGGGATGGAATGAGCGAACGGCTGACTGAACGGTCAATAAATGAGAATGAGATATTTCGAGTTATGCGGACTAACCATAGAAAACCTAAACGCTGAAAAGTTACCAAAAAGTTCCAAACTTTAAGACTATAACATTGTTGTCTTTTTTTTTTAATTTCAACAAGCAGTTGTTAAAAGTCTAATTTGTACCTGATCCTTCACAAGCCATCATATCATGAAAATTGGATTTTAAATAAAAACGGAAAATATTTCATACAAAGTCGTCCAAAGGCAGTGCCTTAGATAAAAATTGCCACCTTCGATCTATTTCTGGTTATGATTTTCCTTTCAAGTCGGATACTTCAAATCCTTTAGTTTTTGCAAAAAAATCAAGTCCCCAACGTTCAAACAGTTCGGCACTTATGGCCCTCGGTGTACAATTAGACTTCTACCCCTGCAGACGCCTCTCGTGGACTTTTGGGTGTATTTTTCAAGATCGGTCGAGACCAAGGGGCGTTTCTAGTTTACGTCTAGGCCGGAAAAAAACCCATGAGAAGGGTGTGTCATAGATTAGTCATTGGTTGCCTCCAGACCTTGAAACGGTCGTAAAATTCAATTATTAACAGTCTGCTAAGCCGTTCAGTAGAGCAGGCGGGATACAAATTGCAGTCTTGTATTTCGTCCCCTTAAAAAAATTTTATAAACCAAAAGGCATGTTAAAAAAACAGTTGCCTTTGAAAACTCTCTCGGTTGTTTCTTTTCTCCCCTCTGTTCCTGTTTGCGCATATGAACCATGCTTCGGGCAAAAAGGGGGTGTGTACCACTTACGCCTACGTGCTTAGTCTCATCCCCCGAAAGGGGAGAAAAACCGAAAAAACCGTGGACGACAGGCTAAAAACACAGAAAAAATACCACCGTCAAGAAAAACAAAGGAAAAACGAGTCAAAAAACTGAAAAAACAACCCCTTCATATAAAAGTTAACCCTTAAAAAAAGGAAAATCGACCCCTTTGGATAAACCACCTAAGGCATGAATGAACCCCAGGGGGTTGAGACATTTCAAAAATTCAAAATGCATATTTTTTCTAAACCAAGCATTTCATTCGCTCTCACTTCCTCCCTTTCACTCCATCTCTCAATAAAAGTCACTTACTTAATCCCTTCGATGTTCATTGCCAACGGTTCGTATCCAAACTGCCAGATCGATCCTCCGGCCCCGGCGGGAGGGCATGCGCTCCGGGGATGCCAGGTGCAGCCGATGCTCTCTGGTTCGACACTCGAGGCTGTCCGCTCCTCTCTCCCCGCGGACGGGGGAAAAAAGAGCGAGAGGGATAAAAGGGAGAGAGATAAAGAGGGCCCCTTTCATGTTAAATAGCGAAAACCGAATTAGCCCGGTGTCCCAGGACGATTCACCATAAAAGAACAAACGGGACATGTCGAAAAAAGTTCCGGAGAAAACATTTATTGTGTACATTTGTGTACAGTTAATGAGATTCGAGAAATTTGAATTTATAAACAAGGAAATCGTAACATTAGCATGTTATATTATTGTGTTTCAGGTTTTAAGAGCCAATTTGTTAAGAGATTTTCATGGAAGGAACAAGATTGTGGGGGAGTACACCACATTAAAGAGCGAATTTGAAAGAGATATTCATGGAAAGCACAAGATGTAAAGGGGAAGTGCAATGCGTATTAAGAACCCATTTAACAGATTTTCATGGAAGAAATACGAATGTGGGGGGGGGGAGAACGCCGAGTACGTATATTAAATAACAAATTACATAAAAGATTTTAGTACAACATTGTGGGGGTAAATTAAATTAAATTGCCAATTTGGTAATAGATTTTCATGGAAGGTACAAGATGTAAAGGGGGAGTACAGTACATACATTAATGAGCCAATCTGATAAGAGAGTTTCATGGAAGTTACAAGATGTGGAGGGAGCACTTACATCAAACAGCCAATTTGATAAGAGAATTTCATGGAAGACATAAGACGTGGAGGGGAGTACACTACATAAAGAGTCAATTTGATAAGAGAATTTCATGGAAGACACAACACGTGGAGGGGAGAACACTACATAAAGAGTCAATTTGATAAGAGATTTTCATGAAAGGTAATGACTGTGGGTGTACAATGCATTAAACAGCAGATTAGATAATTCGATAACAACCGCCATGGACGACACAAGATGTAGGGGGGAGTACACTACATTAAAGAGCCAATTTGGTAAGAGATTTTCATGGAAGGTACAAGATGAAAAGGGGGAGTACAGTACATACATTAATGAGCCAATCTGATAAGAGAGTTTCGTGGAAGTCACAGGATGTGGGGGAGTACACACTCAAAGAGCCAATTTCATAAGAGATTTTCATGGGAGGTAATGATTGAGAGGGGAGTATAGTGGAATAAAGAGCAAATTTGATAAGAACTGCCATGGAAGACACAAGATATAAGGGAGGATTACAGAATGTACATTACATAACCTATAACATAAGAGATTTTTATGGAAGGGACAACATTGTGGTGGGGGAGTACACAGCATTAAAGAGTAAATTTGATAATTGAGTTTCATGGAAGGCACAAGATGTGGGGGAGTACACTACATTAAAGAGCCAATTTGGTAATAGATTTTCATGGAAGGTACAAGATGTGGAGAGAGTACACTACATCAAATAGTCAATTTGATAAGAGAATTTCATGGAAGACACAAGACTTGGAGGGGAGAACACTACAAAAAGAGTCAATTTGATCAGAGAATTTCATGGAAGGTAATGACTGTGGGAGTGAAGTGCATTAAAGAGCAGATTAGATGATTCGATAAGAACGACCATGGAAGGTACAAGATGTAGGGGGGAGTACACTACATTAAAGAGCCAATTTGGTAAGAAATTTGATAAGAACTGCCATGGAAGGCACAAGATGTAAGAGGGGATTAAAGTACACACATTAAATAACCAATTACGTAAGAGATTTTTATGAAAGGTACAACATTGTGGCAGGGGGAGTACACAGCATTAAAGAGTGAATTTGATAAGACTCCTATGGGCTCTTTGTCTGTACCTCACAACCTGTTATCTTCCATGAAATTTCTTCTCACATTGCCTCTTTAGTAATGTTTTCCTCAATCCTGTTCCTTTGATGAAAATCTTATCAAATCTGATCTTTAATATACTCTTCTCCCCTCCATCTTATACCTGCCATGAGATTTTTTAATTTACAGGACTCTCCTCCCCAATCTTGTTCCTTTAAAAATTATCAAATTGGCTCTTTAATTCACTTTACTCACCTCTCTTTACCTTCCATTAAATGCTTTAAGCCTTGTCACTTTTGGCCTTTAATTTACTTTACTCCCCCCATGATTTGGAACCTTCCATGAAATGTTTTAACACTTTAACTTTTTGTATTACTTTGCACCCTCCAGCTTCATGTACCTTCCATGAAAATCTCTAATCAAATTGGCTCTTCAATTTACTGTGCCTTCTCAATTTCCCTATTTTAGTACCTTCCATGAGATGTCTATCTTATTAGCTATTTAATGTATTCCCCTCTTAAGATGATCTTAAGAATTGTCACAAAAATTCAACTTCGGATTTTTTTTTTTTTTAATTACACTATAATTTCTCCTCGTCCTGGGTGGAGGGGAACAAGTTCTTCTGATTATGGTAACGTCATAGACTTCCTTGAGAGGCCACAAGTCTTCATTCTACATGTTAAAAAATAGAAAATGACGACAATGATGTTAGTAAAAAAAATAGAGAATATATATTAATTTACAATTGTACACAAAATATTATTTACAATTCAAATTGACTTATTTTTAATGGTTATTTTGAGTAATAAATGGCGAGTAGGGGCAGAATGGGCGGCGAAGACGGGTCCTGCATGAAAAGTAGCTGGACCCCATTGTCTGTCAGCGTGACCCTGTCAAGAGGAAACGATTTGTAATCGCCGCCTTCGGTCCACATGACAAGTGTGTAACGCCGACCTGTGACAACTCGTACGGGAGATGAGAGCTCGACAACAAGGCCTGAGCTGTATTCGACATCAGACCGTATGTCAGTGATCGACTCACAGTCCTTGCTCACTTCCCAGAGTTTCACACCGAGCTTCTCCTGGTACGTACGGCCAACATCTGATTCAACCGTGGCCTCTCTCGTTGAAAACTTAAAAAAAAAATAAATAAATAAATAAAAATAAGAATTATTATTCATTAGATGTTTTATCATTATTCTGGGCCTACCTTCAGGGCTTTTATTGTAATGTTGCTGTTCGATGTGAAATAAATATAACGGTGTTTCATAAAATCGACTATTGGTTTTATAAAACATGCTAGCTCGATTACAGTTCCATCCCTGGCGTATGACTCAACCAATGTGTTCTTCCTTTTACGCCTTTGCTTCGTAAACCCTTCAGGCAGCGGGGACGCATTCTCTGAGGCCATGTTTTCGAATACAGCAAGACGTTGTTCAACAGTCAACAGTCCACTTTTGCAAGGACCATCCGTGAACTCCTTGAGTGTCATGTCGAAGAAATGGAACTTGGGGATGATTGTCTCACCGATCATGCGCTTCATAGCCTCCTCATCAGCGTTGCTCATCCCTGAAAACCCACATTTTTTTATTATTTTATTTTTTTATTTTTTTTTTTTTTTTAACTTATAGGAACAAACCTCTCCTATTCATTTCAGCTTTTATCCAAGCCTCGACATATTTGAAAAGCGTAATTTCCGATATGTTAAGATTCGCCTCTTCCAACAAGGAATGTATAGTCCTTTCCTTGACACAGAGGAATGCAGGGTGAGACATGACTTCTGATGTATTGGACAACATAATCTATTTAAAATAAATAAATAAAATAAAATAAGATAAAAAATAAATAATTACAGCATAAAATTTAAACATATCAATTGTATAGACAAACCTGCCGGCATGCCCGTTTGATGTCCATCAGGTCGTAGATGTCAGCCAGCTCGTACCCAGTGCAAGCAGTGCCTACATTGAGATTCTGCCTTATGTAAGACAGACAGTACTCCTGCAATGGTACAACCAAGTACTTGTGTCCGAGCTTGTACAGCTCGCATGCCTCGTAGAAGGATTTTAGCTCAACAGCGTCAAAGTAGATGAACCTAGAATGCAGGTGAAAAAGTTACAATCACTCAAAATATTAAAATATTATTACAGCAATGACTCAAGACTTACTCTAAAAACGAACGGAACACATCGGTGTTGACGTCGTCAATGTAAATGTGGAATGAACTCTCTTTGAAACCGCCTTCAAGCATCCTCTCGAATACTGGGCTGGCCATCATCAGGAAAACGCTATGCCCTCGGAACATCTGGAAAAAAAATTATAATAAATATTTTCCTAGTATACAATATGTTAAAAAAAGAATAAGCCTAAGAAGAGATTCTTTATAATATACATGATAAGATTACAATAAGAATATTTTTATTATAAACAATTTGAAAAAATGTATATTCTAATTTTCATCTTATCATATAATAAAATATATAACTAAAATACTGTGGAGGGATTTTATGGAAAATACAACATTGAGGGAGGAGCACACTATTAAAGAGACAATTTGATAACGGAATTTCGTGGAAGGTACATGATTGGGAGTAAATTGAAGAGCCAATACGATAAGGGATTTCATAAAGGGACAATATTGGGGAGGAGAGTTCAGTAAATTGAAGAGCCTATATGATAAGGGGTTTCATGGAAGGGACAACATTGGGGACTTCAGAAATTCACAAAGAATGTATCATCAAATATGTATACAGGATATCGCAGTAAAACAAATTTTAAAAAAGTACTTACCTCGATGTTTTGGCCATCGCTCACTGTAAGTGTGATATTAGTGAAGAGGGCGGAGGCAAAGGCGTATTTGATCTTCTCCTTGAGTGACCTATGCTCTTCCCTCCAGTCGATATTGTTCGATGTCAGGACGGACATTTCGACGGACTGCCTATAAATAAAACGGTCCGAGGACGTGCTTTTAAAAATGATAACAATAACAAGATAAGAGTTATCAAACGCATCGACGAAGTGGGAGAATCGATAGATGGTATCGATTCAGGTCGGACGTCGGATGACGTACTTGAACTTTCCATTCAAATTTCTCCTTTAAAGATGACCTCAATTTTAAACTGAAATTAACTACTTTGAAAAAAATTGTTAAGTTTAACAATAAAATACGTCATTTGTTTAAAACAATCGATTTGTAGTATTGACTATCGATTATTGGTAGGAAATGGCTATAAAATTAACAAAATATAACGTGAAAACGAATGTCTGAAAAATATAAGACATCGATTATTTAGTTAATCATTGAAAACTTCTATCGATTATTGTAAGACTTCGATAGTGACTATCGATTATTGCAGTAGTAGAGAGGAGAAAGCTAGTCTAGATTATTATAGTTAGACAGACATTGATTATTGCCGTTACACAGAAGATATCTAAAATAATTGTTGCTGGATTTCGCTAGAAAATATGGATTATTGCAGTTAAACATCAATTAATATGTTTAAAACATCTAGACTAATATCGATTATTATAAGTAAATATCGATTAATGTCTTTACCCATCGATAGCTACTATCATTTTACTTGGACTGCGAATCGGCTGTTGTTGTTAACTAACATCGATTATTATAGTGGCTAGTCATTAAGAGCTAATCGATTGTTATAGCGGTTAGACATCGAGAGCTAATGTCGATTATTGATTTCAAATATCGATTAAAAACTTGATATGTACAGATCTAATAATGAAACATCGATAACTACCGGTTGTCGAATGGAAACTGGATTGATTTAGATTAGGGTGATGGAATTTCGATAAATAAAATCCATTAGAAATCAAATATAATATCGATTATTGAGGTGAATCATTGAGGCTTTCGATTATTATCATGGTTATGAGATGCCTCGGAGATATAAGTTGGCAGCGCTCAGCGGCGATGTCTCAAATAGTGGTGACCGGCCAGTGCCCATTGAACCTGCCAACTTCAACCTGGCGAAGGACTTTCTCGGGCCGAATTTCTGATCAGCGGTTGATCCATCGTGGTTAACCATGAAAACATTTAAACAATTTTTTTTTAATATATGATTCGTTTGCTTAAAACATATGGATTAATATATTAAACAGTAAAATATGGACGAGTAAGCGGGCAAACGAATCAGTTCGTATCGTGGGTAGTCGAGGTTCCCCCAAATGTGTGGAACAAGGTAGTCAAAGATAAGAAAATATACCTAGACTACCAGTCTTGTGCTGTTAGGGATCATATTGACATCTTTTATTGACATTTATTTTATTTTATTTATTTTTTTATATTTTTTTCCCCTATGTGCTCGCCCTTTCCTGAGCGCTGTCAGAAGCCTAAAAAGGCTCAGGAACGGTGCTTGGGGGGGGGGGGGTGCCGTTTTTTTTTCTTTTTTTTTTTCTTGATTCGGAATTCTGACCCTCAATCGTTCAAACGCTTCCGTCTATAATAAAAAAGCCACACAAAAATGAAAAAGGCAAACAGACTGTAAAAAGCCGGCAACGGCTCAGGAACAGTAATAAAAAGGCCAAGTGTGGTGTTTTTTGTTTTGTTTTTTGTGTTCCACAAGCACAGCAGCATTGGCTGAGCAAATTTTTCAGCCTTTTGCTCTTCCTCCGCTGTCGTTATATCCTGATAACTCCCGCCCCGCGCGTCCATACGGGATAATCCGGTTCGGCACGTAATTAAAAATTAATCCTTGTCGAATCGTCTTAGACGCGGTGCAGGAGTGGAAAAATTTGAAATCTGGCTTGAAAAATATCACCTCAGATGCTTGTGAATGTATAGTCATAGGTACACACCTGTCCACAAGTGGGGGGAGTGTTTGATTGAAGTAGACCGTAGATCTTTGGATTTTTCGGGGTTAAATTTTATCATGTTACATCATGACTCCTGAGGTTCCTAGAGGAAATGACTGGATCAAGTCGAAGGAGTAACTGTCTTCAAAGGGACCTTAACCTCAACGTGGTGGAGGATTGGACGTCAGCTGTACACAACTGGTACATAGAGGGTAGGCCGCTTAGGGACCTCTTCGGCCGCGAGACGTAGCCAACGGTCATGGTTTTATAGCCAAGGCTGGGAACTGGTATATATAGGTAGTTTGTCAAAGCTACTTCTACGGCCATAGAGAAGGTTGGTCACCAAGACCAAGCCCACCCAATGTTTTTGGGTGTATTTTCAGGCTATCAGGCATGATTGGCAGTCGGTGTGGAAACTACACTGCAAACAAATCTGACACCCGACAGTCGTCTTTCTGAACGTCTGGCCAAAGAGGAAACCGGGCCATCCCGCTTCAGGGGGTTGGGAAGGGGAGTTGGGGGTAAAAGCCTAGACCGTCTAATGCGGACTTCGCTATAAGTGGTACCCGGAGTGTAACAGACTGGTGCATGCCTAACGCTTCATGATTTTGCGTGTCATCCTTTCGCAGGGCCATGCTAATCTTCTCTGTATCGTTCCAATTTTAGTATATGTACCGCCGAAGCGAGTACAGTTGTTACAAAAAGTTGTTTCTGAGCGTTTGAAGTGTGCGGACGTGTTCAGGAGTGCTCTGCTAAGATCGTCTAATGTGAAGGTTTACATAGCGAATTTCAGCAAGAAAACTACACCAGCTTGACCTGCGTTCTTCCAGCTTTCAAATGAGCCATTAAGTTTGAAAGTCACGTCAAAGTTATTAATTAAAAACTATTTGGGTTCTCAGCACGTGGTTGACGCCTACGGGCTGACCAACGTTTGAGGCCTGAATATCCCTGTTGTAGCTTCCCTCTTTAAGGCATCTTCCATTTTGACATCTTTTCCCTCCCCTTCCCCTCCTTTACTATCTTCACTTGCTTCATATAAACATTCTTCTTTTGCTTGTTCTTTCTTCATTCCTGACCCTCGTATTTCAAAGTTACATCCCCTTTTGTCATCTTTCTCCCCTCCCCTTCGCACTCATTCTTCAAGCTTCGCGCCGTATTTGGCATCTATCTTTTCTTACCTTTTCTCCTCTTGACATCCTTCATTCCCCTTTTCACCCCTTCTTCAACTAACTTTACTGGCCAATGAGGGCTTAACAATATCTTCCATTTCCTCTTCGTTCTGTCTTCAACTTCTCAAAACAGGAACACCGGACAGCCGAATAATGAATAAAAAATATAGCATGAATAAGGACCAAGACACAAACAATGATGAAACAAATGAACATGATGAAGCCATTTCTATGGCTAATGAAATAAGAGCACATATTGCTCAGTTCATGATTGACAGTTCCAACAAGTGCCCGAAACCGGCGGCGGCTTTCGTAATTGCCGAAACGGATAAACTTGTTGGGATACTCCATAAACTGGCTTGCGAAAATGTGTATCTCAAAGGCCTAAGCCACAGTAAAGAGAGAGAAACAATGCAAGATGCTCGTGGTACGGCTGATGCTGTTGCCGAAGCTCTTCTGCCCACTATAAATGGCATTGTACATGAACTCAAGAAATCTCCTAACTTGGGCCTCTCCCCAATTAAGTGTTGTGTCGGAACTTAAAAAATGTGTAGGCCAAATCCACGATAAGGGCGCGCCAGTCAAGACCGTAACCTGGCCTAGTAGAAGGAGGAAAAGCCCTGCTGCTGATCGCCAGTCTAAAAAACCTAGCGCCGTTGAATCAACAGCTCAACAGGCAGGCGATAACAGTGAATGCAAAAAAGGAAATGAATGGGTAACAGTCACCAAAAAGAACAAGGCACGCAAGAATGGCCGGACAAGAGATGAAAACACCATACCTCGTGATAGGCGAGCTATGCTCAATAATGAAAAGTTTGCTAACCGTCCGAACTGCTGGTAAAAGGTGCCCGTGAATACTTCTGTTACGCGTACCTAAAGAAAATAAACCAGATGAATTGGCCGAGCAGCTGTCAGCAAACAACGGAAGCCCTGGTCTCTGGGAGAAAGAAAATTTGACACCTCTTTACACCCTCAGATACGGCGCCGGCACAAGGGAGGAGTCTGCGTATGTGTCATGGGTTATTGAGGTAGACCCACCTACGTGGAGAACCGCTACGAGCAGAGGCAAGGCGTACCTAGATTATCAGTCGTGCATGGTAAAGGATTACTAACAGGACACGGAGACTTTGCAGCGAAGCTCTATTCCTTTAGAATCAAACCTACTCCGGCATGCGAATGTGGGGAAGAGGAAACGGTGGAACACGTCCTATTCAATTGCGAAAACCATCTCAGTCCCAGAATACGCTGGCTCTTTCAAATAGACAAGCAGAGGGCAAACATGGACGCCCTAAGGTCAGCGATCGCCACTCAGGAGGGATTTACCGCCACATTAGAGATGTGGAAAAGCATAATGAGAAAGAAAGGATGGCCAATATAATTCAGAATTAGTTGTGAAAACCAACAAGCCTATTCCTCCTCCATCTGAACATCCCGAGCGAGCCGCCTCCGCGAGGCCCATCCCGGACGCAGTATAATTGACTGTGACAAAGAGCTCGCCAGATGGAGTCGAGATGCAATCGTCTAACAAGAAAGATCATAGCTTCCGTCTTTAATTTAAAAAGCTACATAGCAGAGAAAGCTAAAATTCTGCAAAGAGCCAGTCATGGCTTAGGAGCGGAAAACAAAAAGGCACAGACGGTGGACCTCCCTGAGGGCTTGCAAGCCCATGAACTTTTAACTAAGGTCAAAATGGCCCTAAACCCAAGGGAAACCAAACTTCGAATAGAAGGTATACGCACCACAGCCAAAGGAGGCGTAGCCATCATGGTTAACGATGCAGTCTCCAAGTCAGCAGTGTGAGTGTGACCGACCTTAAACCTCGCTTTCTCGGCAAGAGAAACCCCCGCATTCTGATTTTGCGAGTCCCCAAACAAACGAGTGCCAAGGAGCTGCACGAAGAGATCTTAGCGAATAATACCCTAGACGAGCAAGCGCGTAATATACGGCCCCTTTATACAGTAAAATATGGACGAGTAAGCGGGCAAACGAATCAGTTCGTATCGTGGGTAATCGAGGTTCCCCCAAATGTGTGGAACAAGGTAGTCAAAGATAAGAAAAGACTACCAGTCTTGTGCTGTTAGGGATCATACTGATATCCCTAGATGTTTTAAGTGCCAAAACTATGGCCACATAGCTCCAACCTGTCCCAAGAAAGAACCGGTATGCGGCCGTTGTGCGTCGGCTCATGACACCAGAGAATGTAATGAGGACGTCCAGAAGTGTGCTAACTGCGTTCGCCTTGGCAGAGACCATAACCACATAGCAGGATCAAGAGAGTGTGAAGCACATTTGCGGGCCCTAATCAAAGCTAAAAGCTCAACTGATTACGGAGACCCTAATAGCAAAACCGCTAACAGCACAAAGGAAGTTTGCACTGGCGTAGAAGATTGTAGACGTCCATAGCGACGCTGTGATAACAGACGCTGCTGTCAGTGAGGTGAAAGACAATGGTGCAGGAACTGTATAGTCTTTTTTTCCCCCTCTCCTTGTTCCCTTCCCTTCTTTTCTTTTCCTCTGTCCTACTGCACCGACTGCTCGGGCGCTATATAGGCATAGCCATATAGGCTCAAGGAACAGTGACTCGGGTGGCACGTGGCGGTGGGGCGAATACTTACTTTGAGTACTGTTTTATTTTTATTTAAGTTCATTTTTATTAATAATCATTTCCTTTTCTTTCTTTCTTCTCCTTCTTTCTTTCCTTCTTTTCTTCTACTTCCTCTCTTTTCCTTCTTTCCTTTCCCTTCTTTTCTTTTCCTTTGTCCTACTGCACCGGCCGCTCGGGCGCTGTAGGAAGCCATATTGGCTCAAGGAATCAGTGACCCGGGTGGCCGAGGCGGTGGGGCGAATTCTTCATTTTATTAATTTTCCCCCCTCTTCATCCCCCCTTTTTGAATTAGCAAAGAAGAGGAAGAGGAAAACAGCACGAACAATAAAAAGAAAATGAAGAAATACCTCCCTCACCTGAAAATAAACATCCCTACGAGCCGCCTCCGCGAGGCCCATCCCGGACACAGCTTGTTAAGATAATCACCAGCTGTGACGAAGAGCTCGGCAGGTGAGGTAGAGATACGACCGTAAAGACAATGAAACAATACAGCAAATATATACAGAGTATAAATAAGAACGGATTGGGGAGAGTGAGGGGCATTGATTTCATTTATTATCATTATTATTATCAGTGATTGACCCTGGTCTCCATACTGGGCAGTATGGAGGTATGCCGGGATGCAGTACAACCCACGCGATTCGATCGATGGCTGATAGCGTCTCGGCGGTATCGGCCAAGTACGCGATCGGAATCTTCTTTGATGTTAGAAAAGCCTTATCGTATGTGGTGGCCGGCCATCCTGGATGGGCTGATCAATCGAGAAGTTGAGAAAGACTTATGCGCTTTAATCGCAACCTGAACGGGCGGCATGTAATCCTACCAGAATATGGCGAGGACTGCAGCAGGACTGTGCAGATGGGAATACCCCAAGGCTCGGTACTTGGCCCGTACCTGTGGTCGGTACTGTTTGACGGAGCCCTCACAGAATTGGAGGGTGCGGGGCTCACCGCGATCGCGTATGTGGATGACCTTGTTGTTATAGTTCACGCGGACTCCAAGGCGGCCCTTGAGCATGCGGTCCCCTCCGGTAATCAGGATAGACGGTAGAACCATCAAGGCTCTTCGAGACCTAATGTACCTCGGAATTAAAATGACGGCGGGCCTACGATTTGGAGCAAACGCCAGTTATGCCCGTGAAAAGATACCAGCCCGAATTTCGGCCATCAGGGCCCTGAGTGGTGCAGCGTGGGGCTTAGCTGGAAAACCAGAGAAATGTACTACTCGGCGTTGTGGCAGTCCGTTCTGCTATATGCCGCGCCGGCTTGGACTCATGAACTCCGGTCATCTGGGTGGGCTTGTCTTGAGAGATCACAGCGAGTGGCTCTCTTGGCTATTACGCGAGCATACAGGACAGTTTCTACTGATGCACTCCAAGTCCTTGCAGGACGAGCGCCGGTGGACCTTCAGGCGAGACTGTTATGTGCTAAATGGGAACTGGCTAACGGAAGGACTCCATGTAACCCAGTAACGACCGTGAGTGAGGCAACGGAATGGCTGAACACCAAATGGCAGCAAAGATAGAGCAAAGATAGGACGCCTCAACGAAAGGGCGGTATACTTATGAAATCTTCCCCAGCATTGAGAGCAGATTGAAAATGAAACATTTAGAAATTGATCATTTTATGTCACAACTGCTCTCGGGCCATGGAGATTTTGCAGAAAAACTGAATAGATTTAGACTAAAAGATAGCCCTTTCTGTGAGTGTGGTGAAGTTGAAACTGTTGAGCACGTGGCATTTGTATGCCATAAATATGAACAAGCCCGATGGAGATGGCTCGCCGAAACCGGAGAACAATCGTTAGATGTGAGTACCCTGCGCCATGCGGTCTCCTCACCGTCTGGTTTCCGAGCAACTCAGAAATTGTGGAAATCCATCATGAAACAGAAAGGGTGGTTAGTGTAAAGTGCGAACAAAGTGAGTGTGTTCAGTGTGGGAAAGGGTATTAATTTAATTTGTTGTTAATTTTTTTTTCTTCTCCACCCGGCACAGGAGCATTGCGCTGCACAGCTACCCAGTTTCTCCAACTCATCAGCAACCTAGAAACAACAAGAAAAAGTGAACAAAACAAGTGAAGAACAAAGTTAAATAATAAAACCTCCTCCACCTGAATTTAATATCCCTACGAGCCGCTTCCGCGAGGCCCATCCTGGACACAATAAATTGTGACGAAGAGCTCGGCAGGTGGAGTGTAGATGCGACCGTTTTTAAAAAGGCTATGGACATAAAAGAGTACAATAAGAACAGGAGTGGGGAGAGGAACGTGTTATTTATTATTAGTTTACATATTTATTTATTTTGTAATTCATTAGTATCAGTTGTTTATTTTATTATTAATAGTTAATTTATTTATTAATTATTTAATTTATTACTTATTAGTTATGTTTTATTTAGTATTATTTTAGTAATTTGTTATTTATTTTTTTATTTATTTATTTTATTTTATTTTTTAACACGTTTTCTCTGTCTAAGGCTACACAAATAAAATAAAGCCAAAGAAAGATACTGTAAAGAGCCGGCGACGGCTTAGGAACAGTAGAAAGAAAGTATTTCTACTCTTCTATAGGGGTTACACCCAGGGGAAGTGTTCAGAGATGTATAGTAATCTTCGCTGACATGAGGATTACGACAATGGCCGTCTCAAAATTTTCGTACGTTCAAAATTGAGCGGCATTAAAAACTAGCTTCTCATTGGAACGTCGCGTTGGTGGGGGATCGGCGGGGGAACGGCGCTCGGAGGGGGTGATGTGCGGGTGAATTAAATTTTTTTTTTCCCTCTCCCGTGTGTTTGCCCTTTCTAGAGCGCTGTAAGAAGCCAAAAATGGCTCAGGAACGGCGCTCGGAGGGGGTAATGTGCGGGTGAATTAATTTTTTTTTCCCTCTCCCGTGTGTTTGCCCTTTCTAGAGCGCTGTAAGAAGCCAACAATGGCTCAGGAATGGCGCTCGGAGGGGGTGATGTGCGGGTGAATTAATATTTTTTTTTTATGCTCCGTTTTTTCTGACCCCTAAGTTCTAATAGCTTCCGTCTATAATCAAAAAGCAAGACAAAGCAAGCCTAGGAAACTGTAAAGAGCCGGCAACGGCTTAGGTACAGTAAACAAAGAAGGCCAAGACGGTGGGGGATTGGCGGGTTCACTTTTGCAGTTCATGTCGAGAAACGTGGTTGTAGAACTCCTTCAACCTGATGATGAGCTATAAGCTCGAAATCCGGATTGTTGAAAACAACTTACTGTGAGTAGGAACTATCTTTTTAAAGGATTAGACCCTATAAATGAATGATTGCAAACTGGTAACTCATTGTGTGCAGTGATTCCATCGTAGTTAACCATGAAAAACTTTAAACAATTTTCTTTTCTTTTTTGAAGTTTTTGAAGTGAAAGACTTTGTGAAGAAAAGTTCAAAGTAGAACAAAACTCTAAAATAAATTTAAAAAATATTCCAAGTGGAAAAAGTCAAAATTGGCGTATTGCAAGAGAATCTTTTCTGTATTTGAACTGAACAAAAAAATGTATGATAATTATGTTTCAATACCCACTGAGAGGAGACAGTCAAATAATTTCTGGTTTAAACAACAGTAAACCATTGTCGACCAATTGCGCCCAAGACTTTTTGAAGAAAAATTCAAAGTAGAACAAAAAACTCTAAAGTAAATTTAAAAAATATTCCAAGTGGAAAAAGTAAAAATTGGCGTATCGCAAGAGAATCTTTTCTGTATTTGAACTAAACAAAAAAATGATATATAATTTACATAGTTAAAACTATCCAAACGGCAACGAATTTTCTATTTGTAAACCAAAAATGCGTAGCCATGACTTTTTTTTTCTAAGGAGAACAAAAGATTTTTTAACAAAATAGGCTCGGGGCGCAGGGCAAATTCTGTGAGAATTTAAAAAACTTGAAATAATCAAAACATATTTGGAGTGAACGGAGCTTTAGTAGTCAAACACAAACGGCTACGTATTATTTTTTTTTTAATGATTATCTTTCAAAGTGTGTGCACCAACACGTAAAACAACCAATAGTAACTATCGATAATAGCTGGTCAAGAACGAGAGTTACTATCGAATATTTCGGTAAAATATCGAAAATACATTTATCTATTAGGTTAAGCCAATGCGACATTCATCGATTGTCTCTTTTAGAGGTAGATAGCAACTATCGATCATCGCTGGTCAAGATCGATAGTTACTATCGTTATTGTGGTGAAATATCGAACATATATTTATCGATTACGTTAAGCCAATGTGACTTTCATTGATTGTCTCTTTTAGATGTAGATAGCAACTGTCGATTATTGCTGGTCAAGAACGATGTTTACTGTCGATTATTGTCGTGAAATATCGAATATACATTTATCATTAGGTAAAGCCAATGCGACATTCATCGATTGTTTTTTTTAGAGGTAGATAGCAACTATCGATCATCGCTGGTCAAGATCGATAGTTGCTATCCCTTATTGTGGTGAAATATCGAATATATATTTATCGATTACGTTAAGCCAATGCGACTTTCATCGATTGTCTTTTAGATGTAAATAGCAACTATCGATTATTGCAGGCCAAGAACGTTAGCAACTGTCGATTATTGTTGCTAGAGATCGATAGTAAATAAATGTTGAAAGATTTTTTCTTCCTTTCAACTTAGTACAACATTACTACAGTGTTGCAGAACTATGTGTAACATTAATTTAATTGTCTTGAATTAATTAGATCACGGCAGGGATGCGTTTTGACGCCAATACGAAAGGCACTTGGTTCCAACATCCTTCAGAAGTTGGAAAATTTATTGTTCGGCGATGCGTGAGTTGTTATACTGACATCTACTGAGGGTCTCCAAACGGGACAGGAGCCCATCGACCTCCACTTAATGCAAATCAATTGGGCTATATCCCAAGTAAGGACAACTGAAGTTCACGTGAACACTGATCGAGGAGCTGTTCTTTCCCAATGGCAAACCAGATGGGACAGTTCTATCCAAGCCAGAAATACGAATATTCCGTGATCGCAGAACGCAAGAGGTGCAACTTCCTGTCGCAACTGGTTAGGTCCCGGTGATTTTGCGGAAAAACTACAGATGTGCACTAATATCTGTGTGATTGCGGTGAGCTGGAGAGTTCAACCACGTTTTCTTCAGTTGTGGCAATTGCAAAGGCTAAGTCTGCAACAGGCGACACAGATGCAAAGGATACGCCACGCAAAGATCGTCAGAGCCCCTTTTAAGCTGTTTGGTTTTAAGCTTAAAATAAAAATAATTCTTGATAGAATAGAACTAAAAATTGAAAAACTCGCAAAAAGCGTATGTACTGACCCGTTATACTGCATGTACGCAGCTTTTTAATCACCCATACTGCGTCGCCGGATGTCGAGCAGACACCAAACTTGTCGGACCCTGGCAAACCGATGGGGCTGCAGGAAATGGATCGGAGGTGCGGGAGAGGTAGGCTGAAGTAGGTTAACCCGCACTATAAGGTCACGAACAGGAAGTGGTCGGAAAGTGGTTATATTGAAGGCCTGACGAGTTCATTCTTTTGAACAGTTCATGAACTTTTGACTGTCTCTACGGTGCCCTAAATAGCCCTCAGGTCTCAAGAACTGCTACAAAAGGCTAGCTAGCAAGCGAGCGCCAGCTGACATGGAACGGCAATGCGTCAAAGAGGGGTGAGCTACCAAGTAAGAAAGAGTAAGGCTGCCAGGGAGCGATGAGATACCAAGGGAACAATTAGCTGACATACAACGGTGAGCTGCCAAAAGCGATGAACATGGAAAGAACAGTGAGATACAAAGTGAACGATGAGCTACCAAGGGAGCTGTCAAGGAATAGGAGTAGGTATTTAGATAAAAAAAAAGTGATATACATGTCGTCAGACTAAAGATTTTAAATCTATTCTACAATGTATTATTTTCCCAGTCTGATGAACCTTCGCTCCCTGTCTCGCTACAGAGCCGCCTCTGCTGCACCACGGTGGTGGTGGACGTAGCCATCTTCGCCCCATGTCTCGCTATTGGCTTCAACGGCCCGCTTTCCAGTTTCTTCCGCACCACTTTGGTGGCGGACGTCGCCGTCTCACAACCTTGTACCGCTACTTGCTTGGACTTCCCGCTTTCCGGCTTCTGAGGCACCACGGTGATGGCGGACATCGTCGTCTTCGCCTGATGTCTTGCTATGGGCTTCAACGGCCCGCTTTCCGGTCTCTGCCGCACCAAGGCGGCGGACGTCGACGTCTTCGCCCCATGTCTTGTAATGAAGATCTTTAAAAAAAAATGGTTCAGTTTTTTGTTAAAGAATGTATTTACTTTTTTATTTTCATGGACTCACCAGAAAGACTAGCAGCAATAGACGCTTAAGCATGGTGTCTTAATTTGTCTCATGTACTTCCTCCGCTGTCATTATATCCCGATACCCCCCCACGCGCGTCCAAGGGGGATAATCCGATTCGGCATGGATAAAAAATTAAACGACTTGGACGAGGTGGGCATGAAAATTTCAAATTTGACTATGGTAATAAAATTTAGAAAAGAATTTTATATGTAAAATAATTACAACCTTGACTGTAACTTATTAAGTTGTTTTGTTAATAAATTCATTTGTGGTTCATGTGTCATTTCCAGACAGTTCACCATTGTATGATATCGTGACGTCATCAGAATATTCAACAGAGGGTTCCCAGTTTGTGACGTCAGTAAATGGGAGGTCATTGGGTTAACAGACAATACAGCTAGATCTCAATTGTTTTAGATCTGAACTAAGAATCTAAAAATTATTTATATTTACTATTTACTTGGATCTTGGAGTAACTTCAAAATTATTCAAAATGGTTTCAAGCTTCTAAAAATAGTTCACCAAATTCTTACGAAGACGTCTTCAAAATGCTAGAATCATTGAGTGGACAAAAATGAATCAACGGAGGGTTCTCAGTTTGTGACGTCAACTCAACACAGAAATGTTCATTTTGTTAACAGGCAATAACGATGGATTTTTTTTTCCTGGGTTTCATATAATAGCCGGATAAATTATGTATAATTCGTATTTATCAAGGTTAAGAGAATGTTTTGAAAAAATCATATAATTGGTTAACATGTTTTGTTGAACAGTTTCCGAAGACGGTGGCATATTGTCCAAGGCTTATTTGAATTCTAGTCATTGGTTTATTTCCATAAATGGAAAGCTGGAGCTCCTGACCCATATTCGGTTTTGGGACCGTATACCAGATACGGTCCGCATTAACTGGGATCCATTCTACCAGTCTGCTCTACAAGGTATTAGAAATACTTTTGCCAAAACTGAATTTAGGAGTCATGGCAACACAGGCATCCCCAATCTGTCTAGCTGAAGCTCCCCTCTTAGCTTTCGTTCCTCCGTATGTGATTGGCTGTTGGAGCTTGTCCTTGGATAAAGAAGTGTGGTTGTGGTAGATTCAGAACTTCCAGGGCAGCCGTTTTTCTCATTGCCCCAGCGATGCTCAGACAAGCCAGCCTATTTTTACCTTCAATATACATATTTCCGTCATTTGTTCTCAATGCCAACAGTAGTAATATATTCTCATGCTTTCAACTTCCAGCCACGGAGGACGAGCAGAAAAGTGTTGCTCAGAAGTATGATGGACTGTGGAATTTTCCCCACTGCATTGGTGCTCTGGACGATTGCTATTCAGGCTCCGATCAACAACGGTGCTGAAATCTACAATTACAAGTATTTCTTCAGCGTAGTTCTAATGACTTTAGTACTTGCCGAGTATTGTTTTACGTTCGCTGATTGTGGCTGCCAAGGGAGACTAAGCGCGGTTTATCAAATCGGAAAATTATGGACAACCAGTATTACATTCCTTTTCTTGAGAAAAAAAATTAATACAATTTAAAACAGTGACGGCTCGTACCGAGGCGAGAAGCAGGACGCATTTCGCGGCCTGGAAGATCGTGACCCGGTGGGCACTGGGTTCGAGGATAGTGGGCTCCGAGTTCGAGATTGAAAAAAAAAGTTTATGTGTACTGTGTAGGTACGGAAGTGCGAGACCTACGGTTCGATAAATTGATTTGATGGAGCCCTCATAGAGCTGGAGAACGCGGGACTCACTGCTTACGTGGACGATCTCGTTGTAGTGGTCCAGGCGGACACCAAAGCGGCCCTCGAGGCCCAGGGAGAGACCGCAGTAACCGTCCTGAGTAGCTGGTGTAGGAGGGTTCGACTACAATTGGCCCCAGAAAAAACGGAACTGATGCTCTTAAAAGGCTCGCTTAATATGCGGTCCCCACCGACCATCAGAATAAACGGCATAACAATTAAAGCCCCTCAAACCTTGATGTATTTAGGCGTAAAAATGACTGCAGGACTGCGATTCAACGTAAACGCCAACTATACAAAAGAAAAGATGCCGGCCCGAATCGCGGCCATTAGAGCCCTGAGTGGTGCTGCGTGGGGCATCTGCTGGAAAACTATGCAAACATATTATTCCGCATTGTGCCAGTCTGTCCTGCTCTATGCTGCCCCTGTGTGGACAAGAGTGCTACGAGAAGCCGATTGGGCGAAACTTCCAGTGCACAAAGGGCGGCCGGCCTTATTAGCGATCACACAGGCCTACCGGACGACATCGACAGATGCCTTGTCAGTAATAGCCGGGCATCCCCCCTGGACCTGAAGGCAAAGGCTGTGTGTGCTGCATGGGAGCTCGCCAACTAGTACCAGCCCTGTGTCCCCGTGCAGACAAAAGAAGAGGTCGACTCCTGACTGAACGATGAATGGCAACAAAGATGGGATACGTCGCCCAAAGGGAGGCACACTTATCTGCTACTGAGGAGCATAGAGAACCGCTTGGCCATGGCCCACCTGACGGCTGACCACTACATGTCCCAATTGCTGACGGGGCACGGGGACTTCTCGGCGAAGCTGCACGGCTTCGGACTGAAGGATAGCCCATTGTGTGAGTGTGGAATGCCGGAGACGGTCGAGCACGTAGCCCTTGTGTGCGAAATGTACACTGTCCTCCGCACCCGATGGATGTATGAAGCCGACGTCGATGAAGCTTCCATGGACACCGTGCGTCATGCCATATCCAGCCCGGCCGGGTACAAGGCCACGCAGAGGCTGTGGAAGGCCATTATGAGACAGAAAGGTTGGTCGGCCTAATTTAGGCCCGTGCCCCGATGTGTAAGCCGAAAAGTAAGATTAAGTATGCATTAATCAGGTTGCCACTACGATGGTCTTCCCCCAGTTCCGGACGCCTCCACGAGGCCCATCCTGGGGGCGCCAGCCTCGGTGCCGCGAAGTTCACATAGGTTGTTACATAACCTCCTTACAAGAAAAGGAAGCTGATCAAGGCGAGAAAATAAAAATTTGATTTTGTGGCAAAAAAAACCACTTACAATAATAACGTTATAAAAACCCAATTTTTTTTACCAAGGGTTACTTGATGGCTCGTCAGCCGCCAGCGATCTGTCATTTTTGAATGAGACTGTGATTATAAAACATATGCTTATATCATGTCGCCAACAGTATCAGAAATAAGTACGCTTTACCAAACACACTACCTGAAGTTTTAGGGGATGATGAAGATATACTTACAAAGCTGTTTCACTTTTTAAATGAAGCTAATCTACTCAACAAAATATAAACGAGCAATGTGTAACATGGGACTCCCTGTGTCCGGGGACATGTCGTGGGGCTGGCACCTAGCGGTCACCATCATGGTGGACGTCTTGTTCCTTGAATGCCAGCGTTATCAGTCGAAGAGTGGTGAGCTACCAAGTGTGCGGAGGGCTCCCAGGGCCCGACTTTTAACGGTGCATAGCCTACTGGCCATCTCTAGGCCAGTTATCTAAGCTCGATGTCCATAGATCTAACTAGATTTGTAGGAATAGGAACATGTTTTTAGATTTTAAAAAAATGAAGAAAAAACATCTCGTCAAACTAAAGATTTTAAATATATTCTACATTGTTTTTGATTCTTTGTTGTCCGTTCCGGTCAAATGGTCGAAAACCACCCCATTTTGCGTCATTAGTCTTTTTTGTTCGTTTTCTTTGGCTGGGGACGCTGTGGTGGTTGGATTATATACGGACTATGGGTGGCGTCACCAAATTGGATCACCATGAAAAACTAAAAAAAATCGTTTATTTATTTTTGTACGATATCTTTTTCTTTTTGACTCACCAGAAAAGCAGCAAGCAGTAATAGACGCATGATGGGTTTTTTAAATGTCTGATGCTCTTCCTCCGCTGTCGTTATATCCCGATAGCTCCCGCCCCCGCCCTTCCATACGGGATAATCCGGTTCGGCACGGATTCAAAAAATTAATCCTTGTCGAATCGTCTTAGATGCGGTGACGTGCGAGTGAAAAAATTTGAAATTTGACTATGGCAATAAAATTTTGAGAAAAAACCCCGTTAAAGATTGACTTTTTCGGATTAGGGTTCTAAAGGATCAGCGTTTCATCCCTCCCCCAAATAAATATTATATTTATGTTTACGTAGATTTTATAAAAGCGTTAAAAAAATTTATATATACACTGACAGGCAAAAATTCCGCCCACTTGTAATATAACTTGATTTTTCGATATTAATCATAGTTTTAGGGTTTTTTAACGTTTAAGAATTCAGTTTTTGTCTAAAAAATGTTTAAAAATGTAAATTGATAAAAAGACGGACAGATAAAATTTGTTTTAATTTTGTTTTAGATTTTTAATTAATATTTCAATATCGCGTATTTCCTCCTCTTGCCTTAATTACATATCGAAGGCAATTCAGCATACTTTCTACCAATCTGGAAATGTCTTTTTGCTGGAGGTTAGCCCATTTTTCAAAAAGAGTCCTTTCAAGATGGTGGAGTGTATCAGGAAGGTTCTGTTATTCGACTTTTGAGGTTATCCCAAAATTCCATCTAAGTGTTCGATGGGGTTCAAGTCTGGAGAACGGACTGGCCTGGTTATGCTGTTGAAGGTACGTACTATGCGACCGACATGCGGACGGGCATTATCGTGCATTTAGGATTGTCGCTGATTTCATCGAGGAGAGGCATGATTTTCCAAAATTTCATCCACGTAGCGTGTAGCCGTCAAAGACCATCCAGGAACAACGACCAATTCTGTGCGACTCCCCATTGAAATACCACACCATCAAGCTAAGTTGAAAATGTTGGCTCTGAGTTGTTTCATTGCCTTCTCCACACTTTTTCACCCCCATCGGAGTTCGTAGAGCAAATCTACAACTCATCTGTAAAAATTACAGCAATCGTATAAAGACCAAAAGCTGTGTTCTCGAGCAAATGCGAAACGTGCAACTCTGTGTATTATGGTCAATTTTGGTCCTCAGGTCTGGTACCTGTATTTCTTTCTTTCGCATTAATTACATATCGAAAACGCCTCGGCATACTTTCTACCAGTCTGGAAATATCACTTTGCTGGAGGTTAGCCCATTTTTCACGAAGAGCCCTTTCAAGATCGTGGCGTATATCGGGAAGGACGTGCTCTTATTCGTCTTTTGAGGTTATCGCGTAAATGTTCGCTGGGGTTCAAGCTGGAGAACGGCTGGCCAGGCTAAGACCCTGATGTTATGCTGTTGAAGGTACTTTTCTACTAAGCGAGCGACATTAGAATAGGATTGTCTCTGATTTCATGGATCACAGGCATGATGTTCCAAAATTCCATCCACATAGCGTGAGGCTCCATTGAAATTGCCGCCCACACCTTTGATCTACGTTGAAAAGGTTGGCTCTGGACAAAATTACAGGCTTCGTACCTTCGTACCGTCTGGAGATCGCAGAGCAAATCTTCACTCATCTGTAAAAAGTACAGCAGGTACAGCCATTGGTCAATCGACCAAAAACCTATTTCTGTGCTCTCCAGCAAGTGGGCGAGCCATACAACTTTGTGTGTTATGGTGCATTCACAAATTCGGACACCTCAAACATACAGGAGCTCATGAATCCCTTGAACAACAGTAACGTGCCGGTTTCACAAAATTCTCAAAGTCAAAAAACGGTCATCCTCTGGTTCCGTTACCCTAGGGCGTCTAGAACCGGGCCTTCTATGGTAGGATCCAGTTTCTCGAAAACGTCTAACGATGTCTCGCCAAGTTTCGTAGGGAACTCCGATGGCATATCTGATGGAACGTCCATCATCAATAAGCGCACCACCATGCCCAACATCCTCAGCACTAAGTAGAATTTTAATTTATTTAGAAATCGTGAGATGCGGTCTGGTGTGATGTAGATTTCAGAAAAACATTTTCTTTTCCAACGTTTCGATCTTTATTGAGATCATCTTCAGGGCTCAAAGTGTTTGTCTTCTGTGTAATTGTGTCATTCTTGCGTGTCGTGTCGAGAGTGCCCACACAATGGAATTTTATGTTTAAAAATTGAAATTAAGCAAACAAAGATGAAAACTAAACAGTTTATTGCTTCAGAATTCAAACGAGACTGAATAAACATTTTTAATTCCTTAAAAAGTAAACACTGAAAAATCCTTTATCCTTGTTTTCGGTTAAGGATTAAGTTGTTTACCTCTAATTGATATTCCCAATTTAAAACATAGCATAAACAAATATATACTGATAAAAAATGAGACAAATTAGGGGCATAATTTTATCGAATAACATAAAATAATATCAATTGGGTGGAATTTTTTGCCTGTCAGTTTATATCAAAGCATATTAAAAGTAAAATGTAAAAACACATTAGTTTTAATATACATAAGGCTGAACTCAGGTTTGTATTGAGTGTTTTTTTATAATTTTTTAATTTTTATTTAACTAAAAGCCAAATTTTGAATGATCTCATTCAACGATATTTTATTCTGCAGAATAGACGAATAAAAGGAAAAATCATTGGATATAACTCAACGATAATGTAATGTGGGAAGGATTTGTTTTATTTTTAAAGGATTTGTTTTATTTTAATAAAATAAATCTGTTTCTTAGTGACTTGTTTTATAATTTGTTGAAGTCGTGAAGAGCGGTCAAGAATGAGGTAGTTTGTTAAAAGACCTTTTTTCATTTTTTTGCCGACGTTTCGACCTTTATTCGTGTCATCTTCAGAGCCTTGGGTAAATTAAAAAGCGTAGGTTGATTGGAAAAAATACGATTTATTATGTAAATGTAAATTTTGAACCAAGTACTTCATAATCACATAAATTGTGGTGCTATTTTTTTTCGTGTCGTGGTTTTGTGGGAAACAACATGACACCACAAGAATAGCACCACACTTTATGTGAGTGAAATAGAAGCTGTTGTAAAACCATGTGTTGTGAACACTACTGAATACATAAAACAACTTATGACAGACAGCTTGATGATTGGGCATTTCCTGAAAGCACGAAAAACGCTACAGTCTGTGCCTTTCTCAAACAAGGTAGACCTCCAAATCAACATTCATATAGGCTGATCTCAATTATCCACATTAGGAAAAAATTTTCCTATCTAGAATCAAGGAAGCACATGAAAGACTACACACTAGTATGGAGGAATCCCGAGCGCAGCACACACATGCAATCAGACATATAATAGATCTCAATCATGTACAAAATACGTCGCTGTAATTTTCTTTGATAACAAAAAAGCATATACAGAATATGGTGGCCTGCAGTACATAACCTCAATATCAAAAGTTTTTCAAAATACTGATGTTTCCTTGTAGCAAAGTACGAGATAGACCAGCAACAGTTTTGGAATATGGGCCAGAATGCAAAACATCTGTTCACAAGGGAGTGCCACAAGGCTTAGTTTTCGGCCCCTATTTATGGGCAGTGTTGTTTGACAGTGCAGTACAAGAATTAAGTAATGCCGAAGGCTATGAACTTCATTAATGATTTAGCAGTCATCTTTGCTAACACCAAGGCTCAGAAGAAAAAGGACCATCGGCCGTCTGTATGTAAAGATGTGTAAAAGAGTAAAGGGGCGTTTAACACTGAGCTGACGTGACGTGGGCCCACGTGTGCTGAAAAAACCAGAGGTTGATTTAAACAGGAGTGTGCATGTTTTCCAGATAACACGAGGGAACCCAGGGATGACGGGCTGACCCCACCACACGCTTCCTGACAAGTTTGGTGAGTGTGAAGGTGTAAATGGAAGGACAGGGCAGTGAGTGGCGCGGCGTGGGACGTCTCGTACCAAAGCAGGCAGATATATTACTCGGCATTGTGCCAGTCTGTTCTGCTGTACGCGGCCCCAGCGTGGGTGCGCGGGCTACGAGCAGCAGACGGGGCAACACTCTTAAGTGCACAGAGGTCGGCTTTATTGGCCGTAACGAAAGCCTACCGAACAACCTCAACGGATGCCTTACAAATCATAGCGAGAAGGGCACCGCTGGACTTACAAGCAAGGGCTATGACCGCCACCTGGGAGATAGCAAATGGACATCAACCCAGTATCCCTGTCATGAGCGCACAAGATGCGAGTAGATGGGTGCGGGAGGAGTAACAGCGCCGGTGGGATACGTAGACTAAAGGTAGATATACCTACGCCATTTTCCCGAATGAAAGGCGACTTCATACAAGACATGTCAGTGTATATCATGAAAGGCGACATGGACGTCGCAACTTGACTGGGCACGGCGACTTTTCGGCGAAATTGTTTAAATTCGGCCTGAAGGCCAGCCCATCATGCCCGTGTGGAGATCTGGAAACGGCTGACCATGTAGCCTTCTCGCACGAGATGGCTTTACGAAACGAATTATAACGTAGCAAACATGGACTCACTTCGGGGTATGATTGCTAGTAGAGCCGGGTTTAAGGCCACCCAAAAATTTTGGAGGGCCGTGATGAAGCAAAAAGGCTGGCCAGCCTAGCAAGCAGCGCTGCTCAAGCACCAAGACCATCGCTTTACACAGCTTAATAGGATTGCCATATCATTGCTCTTCCCCCATGTCCCAACCGGACGCCTCCGCGGGGCCCATCCTGGGAGCGCCATTTCGGCGCTAAGTTTCTGAAGGCAGAGATCACCATAGATAATTCGGCCGCCGCGCCGTCGTCCACTTACAGACTCATCTAAAAGAATCGACCACCCAATCAATTCCTTAAAAGAAGAAAATAATTTGTTCACCTTCACCATTTTTAACAAGCACCAAGTTTGGTTTTCTTTTTGTCCACTTTGAAGTCAAAAGTTCGTTAAAGTCTGGTTTCAGGCAGTTATCGCTTGACCTGACACCGAAATATTTATCTACCTTCTTAGGCCTTTTATATTTTAATTTTACATTAAGCTTAGTTTCTCGTGAGTCATTCTCAAGTGAGTACCTCGCCAAACTGTGAACTCAAATCAAATGTACTTATTTACTTGTTAGTGAAGCTTGTGTGTTCACCTCGTTTTTCCGTTAAACTGTTAGGGGACAAATACACTTGAATCCTTAAGTCATCTATTTGGGAACCAGGAAAGGAATGATGCAATAAGTCAATCAATCGTTCTTGACCTCCAGTTCAAAGAACAAGAAGAATCCCAGTTTGTTCTCACAAAGAGGCTGATAGTTCTCCAGCTGAAATTTAATTTAATCAGCCAAACACATCAAATTCCAAAATTTGGCAAGAGTTAATGAATTAGTTTTCATTATCAGTCCAAGATACAAAAGCTTCTGCTATTCTTCAAGTTGAGTAGTATATAGAACTTCTAGTGGACCGCCTCACTGACCCTATGATTTGGTGGAATGAGAGAAAACGTAAATTTCCTAATTTGTACAATTTAGCATTGAACAGATTAATGGCCATTAATTAAGGCTTTTAGTTGAGATGAAAAAAAGTTAATGGCACGAGAGGGATTCGAACCCACGACCTTCGGCTAGATACGCCGCTGCTCTACCATTTGAGCTATCGTGAAAAATGCTGCTATTGAAAAATGGAGAGATTTCTACATTATTTGGAAAATACACCATCTAGGGGTCTTGATTGTAATAAAATAGACATGCAGAATAATTATTTAACTTTGGTTTTCGTTTATGATAACTATTTTTGAAGGTTGGCCTTGAGCACGACTTTCATCTCAAAATTTTTATCCGGAGTCGGTTGGATTTTGGTAATTTGGTCATTCTAGCCAGAGTTGGGCAAAATCAAACTTAATCATGATTGAATTAGTTAGATTTTGCCCAACTCTGATTACTCTTCTCTCTTAAAATTCAATGATTTGATACAATTAATATTAATACTATATTACATTGTTCGTTGTGGCAAATGTATACTAGAATAGAAAATTAATTTGAATTATGGCGGGAAATTTGAATGAAGGAACCAATAAACAAAAAGCACTTGGAACAGGAGTGGGGGGTGAATCGAAGAAACGAAAGAAAGAATCGATTCACCCCAGGGATTGAATCGAAGGGAATCGATTCACTTAAAAGAATCATTTTTCCCATCACTATTGGTAAGGCAGAGGGCTCCCAGGGCACAATTTTAACTGTGCATGTGCCGATTGGCCATCTCTAAATCATTCAAAACCCACGTAACTAACAAAGAACTGTTAAGCGCTACTGAAAAAATGCCATTTTTCAAGAATTTCAATTCCTAAAGACCGTAAATGTGAAAATATAATAAATTGTTGAGGTTATCTAGGCATGTCCATAGATCTGACTAGATTTGTAGGAATAGGGGGAAGTTTTTAGATTTAAAAAAAAATGAAGAAAAAACATCTCGTCAGACTAAAGTTTGTGCATATATTTTACATTGTTTTTGACAATTTGTTGTCCGTTCCGGTCCAATGATGGAAAACCACCCCATTCTGCGTTATGAGTCTCTGCTCGTTTCATTATTACGCTGACGTGGTTGGCGGCCTCCGAGGCGGATTTTCGCCGTGGCCAAATTGCATCGCCATAAAAAACTAAAAAAACGTTTATTTATTTTTTATTTTTAAGATATTTTTTTACTCACAAGAAAAGCAGCAAGCAGTAATAGACGCATCGTGTTGTTTTTTTGTTTTTTTTATGTCTGATGCTCTTCCTCCGCTGTCGTTATATCCCGATAGCTCCCGCCCCCGCCCTTCCATACGGGATAATCCGGTTCGGCACGGATTCAAAAAATTAATCCTTGTCGAATCGACTTAGATGCGGTGACGGTGCGAGTGAAAAAATTTGAAATTTGACTATGACAATAAAATTTTGAGAAAAAACTCCGTTAAAGATTGACGTTTTCGGATTAGGGAACGAAAGGATTAGCGTTAGTTAGCGAATAGAAAAAAATTATTATCTTATCAGAATCAACGATAATGTAATATGATCCAATGGGGTCAAGTAGAATACTTTCAATTCAGAAAACTTTTCACTGGGGTAAGGATTCGATCTCTTGTATAAACTTCTGCAGTAAACCATTTTCGACCAATCGGGCTGAAGACTTCAAGAAAAATTCAATCGTAAAATCACTAAAATAATTTTTTTTACAGCTGCAAAAAAAATATTCCGAAAGGCCGTCAAAATTGGCGAATACACAAGAAAATCCCTACCGTATTTAAACAAACAAAAAATTGTATAAATGTAAATTTTATATTTATTTCGAAATAATCCAAATGGCAACGAATTTTCAATTTAGAAACTAAAAATACGTAGCCATGACTGAAATTTTTGAAATAGAACAAAAGATTTTTTAACAAAAATAGGCGTCGCGCAAATCTTGCCTCCTGCTTGAGGATTTAAAGATAACTTGAAATATTTAAATAAATGTTAGACTGAACGGTTATTATCGATTATTGCACATGGACATCGGTACTAAGTATCGATTATTGTGTTGAGATAACGAAGTTGATATGAAAGAGGTTTTGGTTGAGATGAAAAAGTTAGTGTATACGCCTAGAGCGGAAGGTCGTGGGTTCGAATCCGGCCTGTTACACTAACCTTTTCATCTCGACCATTTGTGAAAAAGAATATTAACTGAAATAATTAATATGGTCAATTATGACCGCTTAACGTACGATTTAAAAATATTAACACGATAGCGGCCCTTCAAAATTATTTTCAAAACTTCATCTCTGACGTATATCTTTCAGTAAATATCGTCATAACCTCCTAAAGCAAGGATATTTCGATTTTTCCTCCACTATTTTGGAGTTCCCTTTGGGTGGAGGGAAATCAAAGGGTCTCATCTCAACACCCGTTGGGTGGAGGGAAATCAAAGGGTCTCATCTCAACACCCGTTGGGTGGAGGGAAATCAAAGGG